CGGTTCATCTTTTAACAATGAAACTTTCTTAAGGTTTTTTCTCGCCGATAGATGCACATGACCCGCATGTGTTTTATTGGTATCAATAATATCGGGCAGTATAATATTATAACCATTAATTTTAGCAAAATTCAGGAGTAAGCACCGGCAAATCCCAGTAAAGATTTCTTGAACATTTGCATATAGTCGAAATTCACTTTTCTCAAGCGCCACACTTCACTAGCCCTACATGGCGCTGTATAATACTACTGAATCTGCATAACCTGCACAGAAGAACATGTACCATCGAACAGATAAATCATTAGCTTAGTTTTAATCAATGCTACCGGTGATAATTGTCTAATATAGCTTCAGTCCACGCAGCCACTGAGTATGTCCCATCTTATACCTATACGTTTTATGCCGCAAGGCCAGTCAAGGAGCCGGCTGTTTTAGGATCTTTCCAGATGATTCGAACTCTTGTAACTCTGGTAATCCTTCATGCAGCTCGGTGCAAGTCCACTCAGAGCCTAAGAATAATGTCTTGATCATGTTGATTTGGTTATGTCAGCGTGCTATTCTTAGAATCTCGTGTTGTTAACTAATTATCATAAAATATATTGATCAGGATCATTGTTTTATGTTATGCAACTTTTGCTATATCAGAGCACAACTATACGAAAGTATAGGTCCTAAAGTAACACCTCTTTATGAGTAATTGATCGATTGACAAGCGGTGGATGCATCAGATGCTGGGCTTGACGACAGGCTTTGGAATGGAAACGAGGCCCATCTGCTCAATCATGCATATTACGTGATTTCTCGGAATAATGGGAAGTTTCTGAGTCTCTGCTGATACTATGCAGTGTTCATTGAAATATTATCTCTTCATTCAAATTTCTGAATCTTAATGATAAGGTTACTGTTTGCTGTGTGCATTTTCGAGTCTCGTTTTTGGCTTAGTTTCTGGAGGGGGAACGACTAAGCTTGAATACCCGAGGATATTCAAAGCAGAGTAGCGTTAGTTTATCGTAACGATGAAAGCATTTAAACTTTCGATCCTTTTACGTTGTGATTCAGTGCCTCACAGGTAAGTTTAACATGGATCTGTCGTTGTTGTGTTGAGAATTCGAACGCTATTGAAAACATTATCCACCCTACGTTATACTTTGTAATAACCGAGCATTTTGGCGGCGAACATTTTTACAAGGAAACTGAAAAACACAAAAGCTACAGTTTTCGATATTTTAAAGTTGATTGCGGAGCGAGAGATTCAATATCCTTAAAAGACCTAGTTAAACTGCAATTTAAAATCCCCCCCTTAGACACAAGCGAACTAGTGAAAGTGAAGGGCATGACACGACACCTTTTTCGCTTTGAATACGACGCCGGTTTACTAGTAAACCAGATGTGTAAATTAAATGTCTTTAGCGAAGAAATACGAAGACGAATGTCGCTTCATGCAGAAGCAAACACCCCTTCTATTATTGTTTTATATTTTCGGCCGAAAGTTTCTATTGTAGTACACCGTAAAAGGGCGATATATATGTTTTCGAAGTACTCTACAAGATCAAAAACAAATTCTGGTTTCTGTATACAGTCAATGCTTTTAATTTCGTATGCATTAGTTCCAAGAAAGCGCCATCGTAAACAATTGATATACCTGAAGTGAATGGATCACTGCAGACGAATATAATGAGGTTCGAATTCCTAGAAAATTTTGAGTGTCGCATAAATGCTGTTGATATAACCGTACCTCTTTTCTTATTACAACAAGATATCATTTTAAAGCATGCGTTATCTGTAACCCGACGAAAAGATGCATTATACCTTCATATGAACCACCTTTATAGTGCGTAGAAGCATAAAATATTTTCAAATACTATTATTTGCCCAAGTTATTTTCGTTATTTTCGATCTATAATAAAGTGGAAAAGGATAAGTGCGAAATTTTATCAACATTTCTAAGTGGTAACGCTTGACTGACTCCCGATTTCTTAGAAATGAAGAGGTTCAGTTTAAGGTGAACTAAAGCTATATTTCGCATCTTTTAGTTGCCTTTCGTGGCTATAAGATAAGAAAATTGTGTCAAGTTTGAAAGCTACCTTTCTGTTGTAAAGCCAGGAAATTTGCATCGAATATGGATCAGTCACGACATAATTTTCTTCGTGTATTGAATTCTGTACCCAAAGGTCACTTTCAATTAGTTAGTAAACGGATGTTCAGACATATTTCCATACAGGAAAATGCTTGTACTAAATATCTGTTTGTCCTAGCAGAAATGTTTTGATTAAAACGGTATAGCCACAACATGCAACTTAAAAATAAATGTAGCGGAAGAGCACTAAATTCGTAATCTGACATCTCACGATAAGTTTATTACAAGGTAAGCAGCGGCACTGGTCTGCATGTGTACAGAACGACAACTCGAAACACCGCTTTCAAAATCTCGAGAGCCCAGCTTTCGCGGGAGTTTTCGAATGCTCTCGCCCTCCTCAGTTGCTCGAAGCATCACAAAACCATTATTATTTAATTGATTTCAATCTCTTTTCTTGAATTATAGTCCTTTGAATCTCAACGCCTTCGGAATCCCCGTGAAGTGGTTGGAGGCTTAAGTCAGGGGCTGAATTCGCCTCAAGAGATCTCATTCAGTGAACATTCTGCCCTCTGGTTGTTATACACTTTCTTCTGAATAAGCTAGGTTCAGCTAAAGTCATGTTGCTTGATATATTATCTGCTAGTCTGATACCTGACAAGTTTACCTTTTCACGTTACTTATCTATCAGATAACATGTTGTACAGGGAAGTAAAGTGAATGCATTTTGGCATTCCCTTTCTTGTCATTTGCTATTTACGACTCTTTGAAAGATAATGCATTATATACCTAAATATGTCGTTATTGTTGTTGATTTCTCTCTCCTGCCCTAAATACTGATTCGGCATACTTGCATTTACATTCCGATTTACTGAATTTCATGTATACAAAGTGAAAGAGGAAGCTGCATTTGATGGCTATATGCGGTGTGAAAAATCAGCCTGGAACTTACTAAATACATTCCCTTTTACAGGTATTAAGTGTTCTTGTGCTGAATGCTTGAGGAACTTGTTATTCAATTAATAGTAAGCAAAATTGCAAATATCAGATTGCATAGATGGGATAGCTTAACTACAGATCGAAACCTCATGATTTTGGGGTGAGGTCGCTATGAAACGAATTAATTTCCTTGACTCTTAGTGAATGAGTGCAAACTATTAGCTACTATATCATACACCTACGCTTACCTGTTACTGCAAAAAGACAGGCGACAAAAAGGACTTCTTTCGGCCATCGGTGCATTTTTTTCATTCAGCCGTCAGTAAGTTTATCGGGTGCTCCTTGGTGTAAGTTCAGAATCTTCGGCACCAACATTCACTCTTTGTTACCGAGCATTTAGCTCAAACGGTCCATTAGTCTGATATAAACTTGATAAGTAAGGAAGTGGTAGCTTACCAAAATTGTTAAAGTGTTACTTTGATGTCTTGAAACATATCCCTTAACACATGATCGCCAATGGAGAGGCCGCTTCATAAAAGGAAATTACAATCTTCAAGCTGCTACCATTTTCCTTTTACAGTGTTCCAGTGATATGGGAACATGACAAACCACACAAATATTTGTAACAAGCAGGTCAACTGGTTCAGGCGATGCAGTTCTGATTTCACTTTCCGAGCTGAGTTGAATAAACAAAGTTTTCTATGTAGCTTTACTGCATCAGTTTCCTACCGAGGACATTAACAAGGCTCAGCCTCCAAACATGGAAGCTACCTCACGAATGGTGAATACACTTTTCCCGTTTTAGTTTCTGAGGGAATCCAAGCCGAGTCTTCGACACGAGCAAGAGTTAATGTTTTCTGGCAAAGAAGTGGTAAGGGGCTTATCGAGCTTCAATGACCATGGGCCAATTTTTTCCTAAAATATGTTCTCTTGAATATTTAGAATCCATTACGATACCGGTAAGTTTCATTCAAAAATTACCCGATGTAAAGCCTTCTGGTTGTCTTTTTTTTCGTTTTGTCCACCTTACACCGACTATTCAATAGCTGGCCATAACATACTACCTAAACTGACTCGCACTGTGTCGTGCAGATGGCAGACACTCCGTCACTGATATCAATTTATAAGTACAATAGTTTTTTTTATAACTGTTCAAGAGCAACGATTCGCAGAACACAGTAAAGATTTCTTGAAAATCAAAATTAAAAAATCACATAAAATCGAAATTCATTTTTCAAGCACCACATCTGCAGTAACCTTTCATGGGGCTGTTAAAAACCAATCTGAGGGGAATCCAAGCCGAGTCTTCAACACCAGCAAGAGTTAATGTTTTCTAGCAAGGAAGCGATAAGGGACTAAGAGAGTTTCAGTGACCCTGGACCTATTTTTTCCTGAAATGAGTGCTCTTGAATATTTAGAATCCACCTTGATATCGGTAAGTTTCACCTTGTTTCACCTTGTAAGGCCTTGTGGTTTTCTTTTTCCCTCGTTTTGCTCACCTTACACTGACTATTCAATAGCTGGTCATACTGAACATACTACTTGCGTTGATTAGCACTGTGTCGTGCAGATGGCGGATACTCCTTCAAAAAGAAGCAACTTTTAGATGTTAAGTCCTGAAAATACGTTTTCCTCGTCAACACGATTTATAAAGATGCAGCCTCCTTCAGAAACACTTGTTAGGCTACCTTGATGGTAACCGCTAAAAGTGAAAAAAAAATGCTAAATTTGTTCTTGCCGATGCACACGGCCCTCACGTCTTTCATTGATATCAATTTATTAGCACAATAGAATATTATCACTGTTCAAGAGCAACGATTCACAGAACATAGTAAAGATTTCTTGAAAATCATAATAAAAAAAACATATTAAATCGAAATTAACTTCTCAAGCATCGCACTCAACAGCAGCCTCCATGGGCTGTTGAATACCAATCTTATCTACTATTGGATGAATGCCAATAATATCACGTGATTTCTGAGAAAGACGGAAAGCGTCAAAGTCATCAAACGCCACGCCATTTTTAACCCACTAAATATCTGAAACTTAAAGAAAAGCTTGCTGTTGGCTGTATGCACGTTTTCGAACCTTTTTGCCAAGCTTCTAAAGAAGTGTACGACTGAGCTTAAATTACCCGGACACATCAAAAGCGAGGCAGTATTCATTTGTCTTGGCGATGAGAGCATTTCCAACTTCGATCCTTTATGCGGTTGTTCTGTGCCTCACAGGTAAGATGGCATGGGTTTGTCTTTGTTGTTGAAGATGTTTTTGAAGGCGTAATCTTCCTCACGTTACTTTAGAATAACCGAACAGTTAGCGAATACTGTTACGAGGAGAGTGAAAAACACAAAACCGAAGTAGTTGACTGCGAAGTGAGTGGTCCAATATATTTAAGAAAGTTCGTTATAATTAATTTTTACAAGCCCCCTCTTAGACACAAAAGATGATACAAACTGCAAATGTCGGCGAACTGTAGTAAAAGCAGAATGCAGTAATTTGGTCAAAATATACGGAAGTTACTGTGAGACGGAAGTAGCGATAGCGAATGTAACAACAAAGCACCTTCTCCGCTTTGAAATGTGTTAATAATGCGATCGCGCTTCACCAGAGAAGTTTCTATTGTAATACACCGTAAAAAAGCTATGGAAACGTTTTCGAATTATTCCATAAGAATCAAAACAAATCATGGCCTCAGAACATATTCAAAGCTTTTACTTTCGTATGCGTGTGAAACGAAAGCTTTTTCGTAAACAACATCTCCACATCAACGCAGGCGATTAGGAAATGTTGGTTATGTAGTATTTTTGAAAGCTGTCAATCACAGTGTTCGGAAAGGAGTCTTCTGTACTTGAATTTTATATTTATGTCGATGAAATATCGTTGCGTTCAGAATAGAAGTTTCAGAGTTTATTTAAGCATAAACACCTTAGGCAGGCCGTGACAAAAATATACATGACATGCCGTGACTCGATGGGAATGCAGGCCCGAGATGGAAGAGATGGCTAGGACGATTCGAGAGACTAATCATTGGAATGGGGATTGAGGAAGGCAAGCAGAAAACAGCCCTGTTGCTGCAATACGGCGGTCCAGAGGTTGACGAGATCTTCGACACACTTCAAGGCGTCGGTGATCACAAAGATTACAGAAAGGCCGTAGAGAAACTAACCGCTCATTTCTCTCTGAATGTCAATATAACGTACGAAGTAAACAAGCCAAGCAAAAGGATGGAGAAACTCTCGACAGTTTCCACTCACGTCTGAGAAACCTAGCGAAAACCTGTGATTTTCGCAAATCCAGACAAAGAAATCAAAGTACAGATTATCTTGAACTGCTAGTCAAATTCTCCTCCGCGCAAAGCCCGACTTATCTGGTCTCATTACTGATGATTTTCCCTTTCCTTACTACGACCATAAAAATACCAAGAAGTTAGCAGTATTCCTTCCTTCAGGAACTGGACAACATACCCCCAAATTGGCCAATTGTGAGCGCCGAGCAAAGAAAACCTGAGAGTCACTGTTACCCTGTCCGGCCGCATGGCAAGTGTCGTGGCTGAACACAATTTTAATCGCTCAAATTTCCCCCGTGTAATTGACGCTTGCAATTTCACTTGATGAATTGCGACCGTATAAGCTCAATTTTATTTCAATTTCTGGTCTGATACAATTTGATTTTCCAGCCGATTTTTTCAAGACAACATAAAAATTGGTCTGCAATGCGACCCGGCCCTAATTTGAAATAAGTAATTCAAGCCAAGGTTTTACGCCTCTCAGTGGCGTGAGATGTTCGCTGAACATTCCAGGACAATCAATTATCGCTTCAACAACGTTAATAAAGCTCCTCTCGGCTGAAATGGAAAAAACAGCAACTTCCGATAATTACATTTCTAATCATTTTCCAGAGACAACTCTACTTTGTTAGCACATTGTCCAGAAACAAGACTCCAGAGAAATGCCTTAAAGAACTTAACGGGTCTAATTCGAAATAACTAGAAACAGTGCATGTCTTAAAGAGGACAACAGTAAATCAAGGTTCAAGGTACATAAATAGTCTTGACCAAATGTGACAGCAACATATAACAGGAACAATTTAAAACACGTAAAAAGAAGTTAAGCTGATTTCACCACCATGATCGAAGACCTAAGCCTATTTAAGGCTAACTCCTACAAAACCTTCTTTATACAGGTCATGGTTTGAAATTTTAAAGTCCAGAAACTGTGTCGATTAGATAATCCAGAGAATACACATCGCTTTCAACTGACGGTCTCCCCGTTCGGTCTACAAGTTTTGGCGCAATGCAACTATTCTTATAATGACCTTTTAAGTGCGAAGGTTTTTTAACTTCTCCGAAGATATTACTCTTACCAAAATCGACAATAACAGGGTAGAAGCTGGTCTTCACGTTTCTCTCAAACATCATGATTACATTTTAGGTCACTGTGAGCAAATTCACACTTATGAATATCGTCTAACGCGACTGCCATGTAAGGAAAGAAAGGCTTGGAAATAACCCTCAGGTATACACTACCCAGGAGAGTGTAGAAGAGATTATAAGTAACCCTCAGGTATACACAACCCAGGAGGGTATAGAGGAGATTAAAAATAACCCCTAAGCGAACACTACCCAAAAGAGTAAAGAGGAGATTAAAAATAACCCTCAGGTATACACTACCCAGGAGGGTAAAAAATATTAATAGTAACCCTCACGTATACACTACCCAAGAGGGTATAAAAAAAATTAATAGTAACCCTCAGGTGTACACTACCCAGGAGGGTATAGAAGAGATTGAAAATAACTCTCTTGTATACACTACCCAAGAAGGTATACAAGAGATTAAAAATTAACCCTCAGGTGTACACTACCCAGGAGGGTATAGAAGAGATTAAAAATAACCCCTCAGTGAACACTACCCAAAAGAGTAAAGAAGAGTAAAAAAAAAAAAACCTCAGGTATACATTACCCAAGAAGGTATAAAAAAAATCAATAGTAACCCTCAGATGTGCACTACACAATAGGGTATAGAAGAGATTGAAAAAAACACTCTGGTATACACTACCCATGAGGGTATACAAGAGATTAAAAATTAACCCTCAGGTGAATACTACCCAGGAGGGTATAGAAGAGTTTAAAAATTACCCCCCAGGTGTGCACTACCCAGGAGGGTATAGAAGAGATTGAAAATAACTCTCTGTTATTCACTTCCCGGGTATAAAAGAGATTAAAAATTAACCCTTTGGTGAAACTACCCAAAAGAGTGAAGAAGAGATTAAAAAAAACCCTCAGGTATACATTACCCAAGAGGGTATAAAAAAAATTAATAGTAACCCTCAGGTGTACACTACCCAGGAGGGTAAAGAAGAGATTGAAAATCACTCTCTGGTATACATTACCCAAGAGGGTATACAAGAGATTAAAAATTAACCCTTGGGTTTAAACTACCCAAGAGGGTAAAGAAGAGATTAAATATAACCCCTCGGTAAACACTACCTGAAAAGGGAAAGAGGAGATTGAAAATAACTCTCTGTTATACACAACCCAAGAGGGTATAAATGAGATTAAAAATGAATCCTTGGGTGAACACTACCCGAAAGAGTAAAGAAGAGATTAAAAAAACCCTCAGGTATACATTACCCAAGAGGGTATAAAAAAAATTAATAGTAACCCTCAGGTGTACACTACCCAGGAGGGTATAGAAGAGATTAAAAATAACTCTCTGGTAAACAGAACCCAAGAGGGTATAGAAGAGATTAAAAATTATCACTTGGGTGTACACTAACCAGGAGGGTATAGAAGAGTTTAAAAATTAACCCTCAGGTGTGCACTACCCAGGAGGGTATGGAAGTGATTGAAAATAACTCTCTGGTATACACAACCCAACACTATATACACTAACATACAGGAGAAGAGATTAAAAATAACTCTCTGGTAAACAGAACCCAAGAGGGTATAGAAGAGATTAAAAATTATCACTTGGGTGTACACTAACCTGGAGGGTATAGAAGAGTTTACAAATTAACCCTCAGGTGTGCACTACCCAGGAGGGTATAGAAGAAATTGAAAATAACTCTCTGGTATACACTACCCAAGAGGCTATACAAGAGATGAAAAAATAAACCCTTGGGTGTACACCACCAAGGAGGGTATAGAAGAGATTAAAAATAACCCCTCGGTGAACACTACCCAAAAGAGTAAAGAGGAGATTTAAAAAAACCCTCAGGTATACATTACCCAAGAGGGTAAAAAAAAAGATCAATAGTAACCCTCAGGTGTACACTACCCAATCGGGTATAGAAGAGATATAAAATTATCACTTGGGTGTACACTACCCAGGAGGGTATAGAAGAGATTAAAGTAACCCCTCAGTGAACACTACCCAAAAGAGTAAAGAGGAGATTTAAAAAAAAACCCTCAGGTATACATAACCCAAGAGGGTAAAAAAAAGATCAATAGTAACCCTCAGGTGTACACTACCCAAGAGGGTATGGAAGAGATATAAAATTATCACTTGGGTGTACATTTACCAGGAGGGTATAGAAGAGTTAAAAAACTAGCCCTCAGGTGTACACTACCTAAAAGGGTATAGATGAGGTTAAAACTAAACCTCAGGTATACCTTACCCAAGAAGGTATAAAAGAGATTAAAAGTAACCCTCAGGTATACACTACCCAAGAGGGTATAGAAGACATTAAAAATAAACCCTCAGGTATACACAACCCAAGATGGTCTAGACGAGATTTAAAATAACCCTCAGGTGTATACCACCCAATAGGGTATAGAAGAGATTAAAAGTAACCCTCAGGTATACACTACCCAGGAGGGCATAGAAAAGATTAAAAGTAACCTTTAGTTTTACATTACCAAAGATAGTATAGGAAAGATTAAAAATAACACTCAGGTGTACACTACCCAAGAGGGTATAGAAGAAATAAAAAGTAACCTCTAGGTAAACACTACCCAAGTGAGTATAGAAGAGATTTAAAATTGACTTTCAGGTGTACACTAACCAAGAGGGTAAGGAAGAGATTAAAAGTAGCCCTCAGGTATACACTACCCAAGAGGGTATAGAAGAGATTAATAGTAACCCTCAGGTATATACGACCCAAGAGGGTATAGAAGAGATTAAAAGTAACCATCAGGTATACACTACCCAAGAGAGTGTAGAACAGATAAAAGTAACCTTAAGGTATACACTACCCAGGAGAGTATAGAAGTCATTAATAGTAACCCTCAGGTATACACCACCCAATAGGGTATAGAAGAGATTAAAAGTAACCCTCAGGTATATACTACCCAGGAGGGTTTATAAGAGATTAAAAGTAACCCTTAGTTATACATTACCATAGATGGTATAGAAAAGGTTAAAAGTAACCCTCAGGTACATACAACCCAAGAGGGTATAGAAGAGATTAAAAGTAACTTAAAGGTATACACTACCCAAGAGGTTATAGAAGAGATTAAAAGAAACCCTCAGGTATACACTACCCAAGGGGGTATAGAAGAGATTTAAAATTAACCCTTGGGTGTACACTCACCAAGAGGGTATAGAAGAGATTAAAGGTAACCCTCAGGTATAGAACACCTAAGATAGTATAGAAGAGATTAATGATTAACCATATTAATGATTATACATTACCCAAGAAGGTATAGAAGAGATTAAAAGAAACCCTCAGGCATACATTACCCAAGAGGGTATAGAAGGGAGTAAAAGTAACCCTCAGGTATACACTCACCAATAATGTATAGAAGAGATCAAAAATTAACCCTCGGGTGCACACGACCCAGGAGGGTATAGAAGATATTAAGAATAACTACTAGATGAACACTACCCAACAGAATAAAGAAGAGATTAAAACAACCCTCAGATATAAACTACCCAGGATGGTATAGAAAAGATTAAAAATAACGCTCAGGTGTACACTACCCAAGAGGGTTTGGAAGAGATTAAAAGTAACCCTCAGGTATATACTACCTAAGAAGGTATAGAAGAGATTAAAAATTAACCCTCTGGTGTACACTAACCAAGAGGGCATGAAGAATTGAATTCACACTAATCTATATCAGGAGACCACACTTTGTCTAGACTCTTTCTTTCCACCGAAAGTTGAGGCATCCACCGTTAACTTACATAATTATTATTCTTTACAAGTTCCCGAATGGCGTTGTCAAGCTCGGCTACTCTTAACTAACATCTTTGCAATTCCTAATGATAATTCGACTGGAGGCATTTTCCGCCTAAAGTGTACGGTCGAGAGCGATTTGATTTACTGCACCAACAACAGGATTATAATTTGAGACCTCACGAATCCATCTGCTGGAAATTTTCGCTGTCTAATTAGTCCGGCACAGAGAACAAATGAACGTACAACTTACGTGTTGTTTGGTTACCTGGCGTTGAACTAATAGCCTTTGTTGGCGCGCTTGAGACCTGCTGGCGGGACAGAACGTATCGCAGTCATCGGGGAACCGACGCAACAATTCGTTCTTTGCCAAACCATTCGGCCTGATTTCACATTAACTTTTCGTTGGCACACACCAGTGCTTTTTGGGGTTGAGATTGGATCCCATAACTCTAGAAAGCTCAGCCGATCGATCGAAGACTTCGGCCTCCATAATGAGATCGCGCCAAGTGTTTCAAATCCAAGATTTATTGTGTTATCTTAATTGAAATTCGCGCTTAGGTGAAGTAATAATTATAAGGTGAACCTTTAACTTATAATCATCAGGTTTAAGAAACCGCATAGACACCTACCGACTGCGAGCGTTAATGTAATTCTCTAAACCGATGACAAAAATATGGCGCCTCCGTAGAATGCAGGCTGCGAATCTTTTCCAGTGCCAAAGCTTCTCATGTCACGCAACCGCAGCCAGTCCCAAAAAGACGATAGTAAATCTGGGAACCGTGGTGGTCCATACCTTCACAAAGATTCACGCTCTGCGAGAAACAAGAAGTGCAACTCGTGTGGCAAACTAAACCATTTTGCCCGCGTTTACAGAACAAATCCACATGAGTCAGCAAAACATGTCACGCACGAAGACCCTGAAGATGACGGATACGTCTATACGACAGGCCGTGACAAACAACCAACTTGCAGAGTCAAAATCAATGGAAATCAAGTGGAATGATGGTCGATTCCGGCGCACCGGTCGATCTTATGGACGAAAGCACCTTCAGGGAATTATACGAAAGGAAGGTACCATAAGCCACTAAGCTCAGAATTTTCTCCTGCGAATGATCGGCACCTTTACCTGTGCTGAGAATTATTAAGGCCGAAATATTCGCTAACGCCAACAACGCACGGACGACCCTGCATATTATCAAAGGTGCTTTAGGAAACCTCCTGGGTTTAACACTGCTACAAACTTGACGCACTCAAGATCGTCAACCAATTCAAACCTGACGAGACCGGTTCCAAGTCCCCTTTGAACAGAGATTCCGAAAGCTTGTTTAGTGGAATCGGCAAAGTAGAAGGAAAAGTTATCAAGCCTCACATAGACTCTGACATCGAGCCCAAGCAATAGCCGCACCGCCGAATTCCCCTCTATGTCAGAAAGGATGTCGAGATGGAGATGAAGCGATTAGAAGAACAAGACATCATTGAGACCGTGACAGACCCAACGCTCTGGGTGAGCCCTTTTGTCACAGTTCCCAAGAGCTCTGGCCAAGTGAGAATATGCGTAGACATACGAGAGACGAACAAGGTTGTGAAGCGAGAAAAATACCTGATGTCAACCATCGACGATCTGGTTGCTGACCTCAACGGGGCGACAGTTATCAGCATGTAAGACCTTCCGTCTGGGTACCACAAACTTGAGCTGGCACCAGAGAGCCGCTACAGCACACACGTCGGACTCCGAAGATACAAACACCTTTTGTTTGGAATTGACATAGCATCCGATTTCTTCCAGACCGCAATCGAGGAAATACTCACGGGCCTCCCTGGATACAAGAATATCTCCAACGATATTATCGTTTAAGGAAAAACTCAGAAGAAACATGATGAGAACCCCCGTGGCGTACTGGAACGGCTCCAGCAACATGGCGTGCGCCTGAACAACGAGAAATGCGCCTTCTGAAGGAGTGAGATCAAGTTCTATGGACAGATTTTCTGCGATAACGGAGTCGAGACCCAGCAAACCAGAAAGTGTCAGCGAGGTGAAGTCTCTATTGGGGATGGCTCAGTACGTGTCCCGTTACATCCCAGATTACTTTACGATAACTGTTTCTCCACGGCTGGTAACCATGAAAGACGCGCCATGGCAGTGGACCGACCAGCAGCAACGAACATTCGACAAGTTAAAAGACAGTCTAACCAAGAATCACGTGATGTCATACTTCGGTCCAAGACTCAAGACTGAAGTGATAGTCGACGCGAGCACCGTCGGACTTGAAGGATTGTTGGTGCAGGATGGTAAAGTTATCAGTTACGCAAGCTGAGCACTCAGTGACATTGAGAGCAGATATTCCCAAACCGAGAGGGAAACGCTGAGAGTAGTCTGGGCAGTCGAGCACTCTCATCTTTACCTGTATGGATCAGAGTTCATCATTGCCACAGACCAGAAGCCACTCCTGGGAATCTTTAACGGTCACAAGCCAACGTTAGCACGGATCGACAGATGGAAGCTGAGGCTAATGCCCTACAACTGTCAGCTTATCTACCGACTTGGCAAAGACGCCGAGAATCCAGCCGATTTTATGAGCAGTACCACATCCAAGTACGCGCAATATTGCAGAAGACTACGTGAACTATGTATGCAATCAGGCTATGCCAAAAGCAGGAAGCTGCAAGAATACCAAGTGAGAGACGGAGAAGGACATTTCGTTCCAGGCACTCATCAAGGCCATTGGGACTAACCAGTGAACACATCCCGAAGCACAAGAGACAGAAAGACGATATGTTGGTCTACCAAGGAATTTTACTGAGGGGAAACTGGATCGTAGTCCCAAAAGCACTGAGAGACAGAGCCGTGGACCTAGCACATGTTGAACACCAAGGAATTGTGTAAACAAAACGCCTCATCAGAGAAAAAGTTTGGTTTTCCGGTTTAGGCAACATGGTTAAGGAGAAAGTCGACAGCTGTTTACCATGCCAGACAGCCACTACTGGCAAGGCAGAACGACTCGAACCTCGAAAGATGACAACGCCACCAAGCACTCTATGGAAAGAACTCGGGATGGATTTTCTGGGACCACTTCCTTCTGGAGAGGACCTCATTGTCGTCCTAGACGAATACAGTCGATTCCCAGAAGTTGAAATTGTCATATCCACTTCTGCTAGATCCACCATCCCGAAGCTCAGTGCAATTTTCGCTATATAAGGAATTCCTGAAGTCTTAAAGAGCGACAATGGACCCCGTTTCAATGACTGGGAGTTCAAGAACTTTGCTGAGCATCTGGGCTTTCAACACCGCAAAATGACGGCTCTTTGGCCAAGAGCAAATAGCGAAGCGGAATGTTTCATGACAACAGTAGAGCAATGCATGAGAGCCGCCACCGTTGAGCACAAGGGTAGGAAATAAGAGCTCTACAAGTTTTTACGACAGTATCGGGCGACACTCCACTCGAATAGTGACTTCTCACCATGCGAAGCACTTAACCACAGGAAGCTTATCACTTTACCAGAATTGACACCACCAACTCGCCAACGATGCACTCCAGAAAGACAGAAGAACATGACAGATAGGGACGCTGAGCAGAAGATGAAAGCGTACGCAGACCAAAAGTTAGGAGTTAGAGAGAGAAAGATGAAGCTCGTGGTTGAAGGAAAAAAACTGATTCATGATTACGGCAAGTGACTGTCACGTGGGACTCATTCATGTTCAAAGAGTGGGCCGATGAAGATTCAACAGCAGCGCCCCAAACACCAGATTTTTCGGAAGTGGACAAGTTAACGAGTTCTCCAAGCCCCACTTTAGCCTTGTGGCGATCTCAAAGGAAAACAAGGCCTCCTGAAAAACTGATGGACTGTGTTCTACTTGTGCGATAGAATTAGACACTCGAAACATGCAATTGAACTTTGTGACGATGTAACATGTTTTAGTTTATCGTTTTTAGTTATTTGAGATAAGCTGCTAAAGTCAATCTTTAGATATTAATGTATCTAGGTCTATACTGATCAAGAAGGGAAGAGATGTAGTGTTTTCGAAAACTGTCGATCACAGTGTTCGGAATGTCTCCGCGGTCAAAAAAGGAGTCTTCTGTGGTCGGATTTTATATGTATGTTGATTAAATATCGTTGCGTTCAGGTCAGAAGTTTCATTGTTTATTTAAGCGTAAACACCAAAGGTTATTGGACAGTCTTTGAATTGTCTAATATTAATGTGCAGTCAGCTAATTTCTATAAGTAATTCTAGCCAAGGTTTCACGCCTCTCGGTGGCATGAGTCGTTCGCTAAACACTCCAGGACATCCAATAATGGCTACAAAAAGGTTATTAAAGCTCCCCTCGACTGAAATGAAAAAACCGCAACTTCCGATAATTACATTTCTAATCATTTTCCAGATACAACACTACTTTGTTCGCACATTGTCCACAAACAATAGTCCAGAGAAATACCTCAAAGAAACTTAACGGGACTAATTCGCAATAACCCAAGGGTAGCCTACGTGTGGCCGAGCTACTCTTCTTGGTCGAAAGAACCGCAGTAAGAAAAGACTAGTTATAATTTAATAACTTCGCAGCACCGTTTTTAGAGACCGAAAGTTGACTGACTACAAGTAGGCTATGAAGGTCGCAGCAACTCGAGAAGTAACTTGTCAGTCTCAACTGGACAATTTGTTTTGATAACCTGATAGTTCTACCCGTGTGTGTTTACGTTTCATTGGCTGGTTCAACCTTATCATGAGGGCAGCATCATCGCAGACGAATCACTGGAAAATAATTTTGGAAAACTGAGTAGAAGTGATGGAATAGTTGAAGAGCGGTTTAATTCCCCCCTTCCCCCTTCTTGGCAGTTAATTGGAAGTAAATTTTCTAAATTTACCCCTTGGATGAATCAAAGTGATGAAGAAACCTTTGGTACTTTATATTTGTTATCTTGTGATTCACTGCGTTACAGGTAAGCCAAACAGTTCTTCGCGTAGGAGTTAATAAGCTTTTGAACGTGATTTAATGTCGGCCAATTAACAATCCCACCGCGGTGTCTAAAACGATCGTCGGTCAGAAACCTGAAGAACAGATGAAGAATGTTTTATTTTAAATATTTTTCAAACCACGTTTTATCAATAAGCAGTTCAAAAATCTTACGCAAAGTGCTCGAACGACATTTAAGATTGGTGATGTCTTTTTCTGGACGAAATGTTACAATAAATGCGAACTTCGGATCATCAGTGTATATCACACTTACGAGGAATTGCGAAGCGGAGGTCGACCGTTGAGAAGTGAAACTGATAGAATAATATGCAGGGGAAATATTTTCACTCAGGACAGTTGAAGACGTGACGCGCCTTTCCAGACAATGTTCAAACTATTTTAATATGGGATGAATTATTTATGTTTCTGTGCCATATTTTCTATTTTAACTTTACAGTTGCTACTAAACAGAGTGTGCGAACTTAGATTATAGTGAAATCCTTATGCGAGTCTTGTGAGTCTTGGTTTGTCACGTGCTTCAAAACCACACATTTATTTTTACCCTTTGAGGGTAGTGTCCTTGACCGTTATAATAGGGCTTAATACTCGTACGATAATCGTCATCGCTAGTCGTGTTTGGGTTTGTCCTTTGCCTTGTTTAGAGTCCTCAACGTGGATTTTTGTTTAGGTTTTAGTTCTGTCTTGTTTTCGAAGATTGATCGTTGTTAAGTACTTTGTTGTTCTTTCGAATGTCTTGTGAGATTGTTTTGGTTAGCACTCGCAAAATATGTTTATATTTACTTTGCCAAGGTCAGTTGTCCCTGATCCCAAACATGCCTACTGACGAGGTAGTTAAGAGCGCGTACTTGGGGCTATATTAGTAGAAGTAAGACAAAGTCTCAGGAAGTGAAATAAAGTTCCTCAATAGACTCCTGGGGCCTCCCGCTTGATAGAGTTGCTCAAGCTAGTTAACCCAAACAGTTCAACACAATATATTTTAGAAGAGGTCATTGCTTATCGTGATGGTACGTAATGATAAACTGTTTAATCGTTCGTCTCACGGTGTAGTCACTTGAGATGTAGATCGCGACCTTTCGACAGTGTACTACTAGTTTTCATCAGGCAATGGGGTCGACTGCTCACGCGTTACCATTTGTATCACGGTGATCTAATGCGATTGGTGGATTTCGATCGTCATTGCTCCAGTGAGTTCTGGTTTTCCGAGAGGTCTGACTTCAATTTGTTCCTTCGGTGGTCTGCTATCGTACCGGTCTCTCGTTGAGTTTCTTGATCATTGGTATCCACGCTTCAGGAATTTCGATTCTGTTATTCCTGTTGATGTTATCAGGGTGAAGTCTTATGTGGATAGCTTCCTTGACACTTCTGGTGTGCCAGTGTCTCTCGATAGATAAACTTTACTTTGTTCCAAAGAGGATGGTGGTCGGTCTTGTTGGCGTGCTCTGACTAAACGGCGGAGATCTGAGCACTGGCTAAACATACACCCTTTCGTCTTCCTTCATGCTCTCTTACATTAGTGACTAGTTATGGGCAGAGAGTTCGAGGCTCTAATGACGCAGCAGTGTCAAGTTCTTTCGCTTGCCCTACCACTAACATATGAGGTAGTTAAAGACCATTCATTGTCGTCGAAAGAGGTCAGATCGAATTCTTACGTGAGATGCACTTCGCCAGTTTGTTTGGCATCGGTGAAAGTACGTTACGTCGAAGAAAATGGGAATGTGAAGATGGGAATTAAAATAATGACAACGAAAACTGGACGGCATTGAAGCCTCGAGCTCTCTGCTCATAACTTGTCATTACACAAGAAACAAAGCGTACTTTTGTCTAAACAGCTTCCATTTAATTGTCTTGAAATCGTAGAGACAGCGTCATCAGTTTACCACACACTGTGTTGTGGGAACTGTAAAGTTAAATTTGTCTATTTCAGATGCAAGTTAGCTTCTTCGAAGTACTCAAGGGGCACATCTTGTGCGTTCATATTCTGAATACCAATTAAGAGTGTACTAGGAGACTCTACGAAGTTGTAAAGGCCAATTTCGTTGCTATCTCTTGAAGATTCATCGGCCATTTTGTTTTTGAAATCGGTTAGAAAGTGAACCACGGTAATGTGATCAGGTGCTACATACTAATTAGAACTGTGACTGAAACTGCTCGGAAAGCGAAAAAATCAATATAAAAATATGAACGCATATAAACAAAAGAGAACAAAAAAAATACATTGGCTTAACATTTATATATATAAATGATAGGAACATAAATAAAAAAAGTATAAAAGCCAAATACAAAACACAGAAAGGAAATAGAAAATATGGCTCACAAATATAAATAGTGCATCAAATTAAGATAGTTTGAATAAATGGACGCGCCATTAAATGCTCAACATTAACGCTTGTATCCAAAGAAATGTGGAAGCTATTTGACAGGGTTCGTAACGAGAACATAAATATGAATTTTTCTAATCATTTTTTTTAAATTAAAATGCATCCGTTTCTCAGAAACTGATCCACATTAGTAATATCCTTTCTGAGAAAAAGCGGAACTGAAACTATGATTTAAGAGGTTAAATATATCACAGGTAATGTAATGACGGGTCACGGTAACCTCGTTGCAGTTGAGCTGATATACGGAGCGATTTGTAACGCGAAAATGCGTTAATTTGGAAATTTGAGGATTTGGCGGATCCACAACTGAAAAGAAGGCGTGACTGTAGACTGTAGACTGTGGACTGTAGACTAACTGCAGGGTCATGCTTTGGAAATCAGCTACGAAATAAATTTCATTATCCGTAACCATACTATAATAGGCTTTTACCGCAAAAAATTTGATATCATTGATATATACCGTAATGTCTTTTAATGAGAGGTGAAAGAGTAGTTTCAAGACTTCACATCTGAAGGTTGCTTCTTGACGGAGTGTCTGTTATCTGCACGACACAGTGCTATTCAACTTATGTAGTATGTTATGGCCAGCCACTGAACTTTCTGTGAAAGGTGTGCAATCCCTAAAAAACAGAAAAAAAATAGTACGATACCCGCAAGGCCTTATATTAATAAATTTTCTTTGAGAGTGAAACTAACCGATATCATGATAGATTCTCTAGAATCAAAAGAACATATTTTCAGTGATAGGCCAAGCTTCATTGAACCTGATAAGTCCTTTATCACTTCTTAAACGTTAATCAAAGACCAGCTATTATTTATCACCAAGGATGGGCGGGGGAGAGGGAGAGGAATTTTCTCTTTCTTTTTTGAGGGGGTGGGTTGGGTCACAACGTTTTCGGTGGGAACGGAAGAGAGATCAGTCAGGGCCAACAGAGTTTAAAGGGAGTACTATAAGAAATTGACTGCCAGTGAGGGGGGATAATCAAAATACTATGGAGTCTTACGGGAGGGATCAGGTAACTTCTATCGTGACACAGCAAAACTTCTCTGCCCCCCCCCCCCGACCCCTCGTCGTCCACGTTCAATAATGACTTTTTCCTTATCATGTCCATTCCAGTGTCCATTCATGCAACAGTTTATCCAGTTATGATCTCTGCTCCAAACAAGCCAACGGAAGCCGTCACTGGCGAGACTGTGTCATTTAAGTGGCACTACAATTCAGGAGATCTAAAGAATGATCTTTTCGAAATTGTGTTTGGCATCTGGAAGAGTCCTGGCTTCCTGAAAACAAAGTTGATAGCTGTCAACTCGAGTGGTTTTGCATCAACAAGGTCCTCATATAAGTCATCTGTGGGTTGGGTAGGAAATTTGACATCCTCTACCGCAGTGTTTGAACTTTACAATGTAAAACTTGAAGATGGCAAGACGTATGGAATAGTGGTAGAATACGGACTTCAGAATACCCCGTTGACCGACTCGATCCAGCTTCAAGTTAAGTCCAGACGTAAGTAGTATCATTCATAGCATAGAAAAGATTATGTTCCATTCCTGATCTACTGAGAATTGAGGCCACCGCTGCGCAATAGGGGCGAGAAAATATTTTTTATCATACTGTTCTTAACACCTTTAAACTTCTTCACTCGACCGATTGTATTTCCGAAGTTTTAACACTGCCAGATATGAAAGTTGATTTCGCATAAATTATTAGCCACAGGTTCACCAGAAACCACTACTCCACAACAGACAAGTGTCACAACAGCCGCGAGAGCTACAAATACAGGGTCTCGAGATACGTCGAAAGGTAATGTTCGTGTCCTGTTGGTTTGCCCATCCAAAGTTACAGTACTTTTGCACCAGTAAACCTGTAGGTAAATTACACAAGCATTGCAGATGAAACTTCTTTCCTTAAATAGCTTTTTCTCTTCTTAATAATATATTACCCATCGCTACAAACCTACCAATTCCTTTTCAGGACCAGAAGCCTGAGTTAAGTCTGCAAGTGATTTCACATGTTACAAGTTCAAACATTTCATCAGATACCATCCAACATGTCAGAATACTTTCATTCCAATAAATTAACCTCCAAACGGACCTTCATACTCATTTAGCCATCTATCCTTTTACATTATCTGCTTACCCAGCTACTAAAGTTTAATCAACACAGTTTCTGTTGTTGTTGTTTTATTTCTGTTCTAGAGCCCGACGTTTCAGTGCCAAGAAAACCATCAGAAGAATCCTCCTTTAAATGGGCGGTGGCATTTGGAATCATCGCTTGTGTTGTGATAACACTCACTGCAGGCCTTTACTTTCACCATCATAAAAAGAGCCCTAAACATGGCGCATATAATCCTATCTTCACTTAAACCAACAAAAAGGAATTTTGCGTTCGATCCCGGTGACTCATGCTGTTACGGGAAAATTTACTGATTTTTCCCGTGTGTGTTATTCGGTACATATTTATTCGTAAACTTTCACATTTAACCATTTCAAGTCCTTTCATTTTAATAAATCAAAAAATGCATAAAAACCACTGTAGCTTTTGAGTAGATTTTTGTTGTTACTCGCTTTCATCATATGCACCTGGTTGTCGGCACTTTTGTTATTTATTACATGGTTTTTTTTAGGTAAATATAAGTGTTAATGGTCTTTCTGGAAACATTGGCTTTCATGGTAGATAGCAGCTGAGTTTATACTCGTAAATCTAATTTCTTTTCATGCGATGGTTTCCAAACCAATCTTGCATAGATAAGCAGAAACTTTTAATTGCTTTTCCGTTTTTATTTCCTAAGCTGCGCTGCTGCAATTAAGATAGGTATTGTTTTCCATACCAGAGCTGTAAATTCGCACCTAAGTTTCCTTTGTTAATGGCCTAGAGTGTATTGCATCCGTCTTTTTAATTTTGAGATTCTTTCCGTCGTAGAAACAGATGGAATATTTAAGTAGTTTTCGTTTAACTTCAAAGATACTTTTTTCCGCTCCTTTGTGTCCTTATTCAAATATTGCGATTTGTGCAACAATAGCACTTCACACCAGTTACTTCTTAAGCAAGTACCTTGTACAGCTTTGATGATTACAAACTAGAGTATGCTAGAGGTCATGTCGCTTGTTGGCCTGACCTAGAATAAAAGTACTGTGGAACCAAAGATTGTCTTATCCTTGACGTCCGTATAAGCTCGCTCGAAGTAGATCTCCGTGTACCAGGAAATCGTGACGAGTTTCCGTTCTCGCTGCCAAGTCGTCTCTACAGAGTTATTTCCCCCAGTTGTTATTGTGCCGTCCGCGAAGATTCAGTTTTCCAGTTGGCGAGCGAAAATCTATTGTCATAATGCTAAGAAAATTAGAAGGTCTAAACATTGTCGTCATGAGCATAAATCCTAGTATTGGGTTATTGCCATTTATAACTGTTGGAAATATTGTTTAGAGACTGCTGCACAATTAAGAAGTAGTCATAGCTATGAAATAGCTGATAGAGTTGTAAATGTTCAATAAAAACTAAGGCGTTTTAGGGCGGTCAGTCTGAAGCATGAACTCATTATTTCAGTACAGACCACATTAGTTGCCATTCCCTTCCAGTTCCAATTTTTTCAGAAATTTTTTTAGACAATAGTCGAGCTTTCTCTACAATTAAGAAAACTGCTATAAATAGAGAGCTGCCAAGTTTGAGTTGGGATAAATTTTTCAATTATTATGATGGGCACGCCAAGAAGGCATCAAGTGCTCACTAAATCAAATGAGATGAAAGAGGCGGAGGAAGGGAGGTAGAGGGTCAAACAATACCTTGCCCAGCTGAGTTAAAGAACCCCTACTCTGTTCAACCTCAACGTTCAGTGACCAAACTCAAAACTCAAAACCTCAATAATCCCAAGAGCTAAAATATAAGGAGTTTGTTTGCTTGGAAAAAAATCGTATTTCATCTTAAATAAAGTCAAAGTGGTGCGAAGATACGAAATAACTTAAACGACATGCTTTACCTATTTTATCGAGATCAGTGTACACACACTCTGGGCCAACATCTACTCTGGCAGAATGTTTAAAAATTTGGCGGTCACGACCTCCAATAAACGTGAGCAGTGCTTAGAATAATCGCTATGATAGCTGTTAGCATCAGCAGATATTTAAACCCCAGTTTACAATTTATGTAGAAAATTTACCCATGAACAGGATGTTTTAGCTGCTCATAAGGGCATCTAATTACGAAAGAGTGAACAAAAGGAGGTTGCTTGGGTATGCATGTATAATTTTACTTTCTCAGAATGAATGATCACGTAAAGAAAAAATAAACTTTCACTAACTTGCCGAGTAGTTTTTAAATTGTGTTACTTTGAATTCGTAGAATCGCTTGATTTGAGTAGAAGCTTTACAGTTTGAAAAACGTTTGCCCTAAGCGTGTATCATTAGCTTGATTCCTTTTTTCTTGAGAATTCCAAAATATGAGAGCAAGTGCGTTTCACTTAGACGAAAATGAAATATGGCTCCCTCTAAAGTTAGCATCGAGCGTGCAAACAGTATGATGTCTAACAGCCTAACTGCATTTTTTTCCCTTAAAGCACGTGGCGCAGCACGTGTTTTGAACAGGTGTCAATTAAATAGATGTACTGTTTCTCTGAGAGTAGTTTCTTTAATCTAGATGGTGGATCTTTATTCTAGGCTAGGAGTAGGTAGTTACCTATTTCTGGGTGATCAGTATTACATTTAGGCGCTCGCACTGTCTAATAAGAGAGTTAAAGAAACGACCACGGAGAAGCCGTGGACAACTTCGGTTAAAAAGTGAATCTTCATTTTACCTATGAATCTCGCGAAACTCAAAAGTCATTATGTTTGTTGTCCACTATCAAACTATTTCGAAACTGAATAGGCAACACATGCAGCGTTAAATTAGAACTAGAAATTTAAAAAATTAGCCGTCGTTGTTCACGCTCTGACGAGGGGCCAACGCTCGAAACTTCAGCTTTAGAACTCTTTACTGTGGCCAATTTGCGTTATCAACTTAGACGATAATACTCAATTACCCCTAGCTGTTATACTCTCCCGGCGACGCAGCACCACAGTTTCTTTAGAAACTTACCCCTTTTACTCATTTGTCAATAAGATAAAGGTGATGAGTATATGCTATGTCTTCTGCAAGGGCGCGAATACACCCAGTCCGAACGTGCGAGTTATCTTCCTTCAGAGAATATCCAGCATGCCTGTGCGCAAATTTTAAGCGACAAGAGCTGGATTTGGAAGGTAGGAGAGGGTTTCTCCTATTTATTTGGATCTTCACTTCTTTTCATTATTTTTTGGTGTTTGTTTGGAGACACAGCCCTATTGGGTCAATTCTGCCCCACTAAAATGGGGCTTTTGGCACCAATTTTTTGGGCTAAATCGATCCAGCTGTAAGGGCTGGACTCCATCCTCGGCTGGACATTAACATGTCTTTCCGCTATGTCTCAAGGTAAGGTCAAATAATTGATTGAAGAGTTTCTCCTATTGCTCTGTTACCCCTCAGTTGACTTGTGTTGTGGGTTGGACCTTTATCAGTCTACAACGAACTCGGTATGTAGTCTTGTTTTTCGCACTCCTTGGAAACAAAACTTCCGTCGCCTATGACTTAAAGGCGTTCCTCCCGAGACTTCAAATTTATTACAGACCTTTCTTGTTGGGTAGTCATGCAATCACCAGAAAATAAGGGCAGTCTGAAAACATCAAGCTAACCTCTCGTACCGCCTTAAAAACTTGACAGTATTTATGCAGTAAACCACCGGTTGAGCTTTGTTAGTCCAAAGCGACGGGCTGTAATTCTGTTGAATGAAAGGACATTATGTACGCATCTCACCCTTTGCAACAGTTTGAATGAACGTGCTAATGAAGCCAGGAATAGAAGGATTATTCGGTGATTGCAAGTCAAACAATTAAAATGAATGTAAGATAACTTCAAGTTACCTGGGAGAAATGTGCCACTGACATATTTATTACCATGTCGATTGTTTGCTTAAATGTCTCGGCTGTCTGTTTCAGGGTAATGTGTGAAGTTGTTTATTTTACTGAACGTTTTCTTGCTTATTTTATATTAAGTGATAAAAGACAAAAATCAAAGTCGCCGAATAGCCTTGCTGTGGAGTGCTAATCACAATTGTTGTGTACTATATTTTATTATTCCACTATTACGTCATTTTACCATATTAGGGCATCGGAACGCGCAAAATAAGCCATGTCATTATCAAACTGCACCAACAAGAGTACAAAGAACGCAAAAATCGAGTAGAAATATCCTGCGACAGTTGTTTTTTTTTTATTGTAAAATAACCTGTTGAAGCGGTCGGCTACGCGCTCTACGCTACTCTACCTTCTTCGCTTTTCCCACTCTTTACGAAATACACACGAAATAATATTCACACAATAGGTACACCCATGTGATGTGACGTCATGTGCAAGAACGTTGTTCCGGCGGGGTGAGAGCAGCTGGTAGGCACAACAATCGCGCGTTAACTCAGACCATGTTCCGTCGGTGGGAATTATTTTTCATCCTGGGCTGGACATTAACATGTCTTTCTGCTATGTCTCGAGGTAAGGTCAAATAATTGATTGAAGAGCTTTCAAGGTGTGAGCTAGCTTGAATGTTTCGGTAAACCCCTTATCATTATTAGTGTGTGTGATAATTTTATATAGAAAAGAAAGCTCCTTATAGTTAAATAGTCTTCGAAAAGATTTAGTTAGAAACATCCAGCTTCCTATTGCTCTATTCACCCTCAGTTGACTTGAGTTGTGGTCAGACCTTTCACAGACCACAACGAACTTAGTATGTAGTCTTGTTTTTCGCAGCCCTTGAAAACAAAACTTCCGTCGCCTACATCTTATAAACGCGTTCCTCCCGAGACTTCAAATTTGGTACAGACCTTTCTTATTGGGTAATTATGCAATCACCAGAAAATAAAGGCAGTCTAAAAACATTAAGCTAGCCTTCCGTACCACCTTAAAAACTCGACAGTTTTTATTCAGAAAACCACTGGTTGAACTTTTCGTCTAAAGCGAAGGGCTGTAATTCCGTTGAATGAAAGGACATGACAAGAGTTTGAATGCACGTGTTAATGACGCCAGGAATAGAAGAGTATTTCTTTGATAACAAGTCAAATAATTTGAATAAATGTAAGATAAATTCAAATTACCTAGGACAAATGTGCAACTGATATATGTATAGCTAAGTTGATTGTTTACTTGAATGTCTCGGCTGCCCGTTTCAGGGTAATGTGCGAAGTTATTAATTGTATTGTATGTTCCCTTGATTATTCTAAATGAAGTGATAAAAGACAAAAAGCAAAATCACCGAAGAGCCTTGCTGAGGAGTGTTAATCTTTGGCTAGTCTTTTTACTTTAAATAACCTGTTTAAACGGTTGGCTACGCTCTCTACGCTACTCTACCCTCTCTGCTTTCCCCACTCTTTACTATGTGTATGAAATAAGCAGCTAGATAATAAACACCTTATTAAACGTTTTGGTGTGTAGTAGCGCTGAGTATTTTTACTAATTGTTTGTTGGTTCATAAAAATACTCAGCGATACCACACACCAAAACATCTAAGCAGAAATATTTATTTGATGTTTTACCACTTAATACGAGCGGACGTTTCGCTCATTGCTCGTAAAAAATATTCTCGCATGCTACATGTTAAACATTAACTGCAGGCGGGTATCGATGGCTCGTGAGGTGGATTTTCGGAATCCTTGGAAATCAATTGCTGAAGACTTCAGATGCTTTTTCCTTAACAGAAAGTCCTGTCTTGAATCACTGGAAAGTTTTATCTTCTCTTCTACGATAGAAGCTCACGACAGTTTTCAACATGCTGGACATGATGTGAACTTTCCTGACTTGGTCGAACGGCGGGAATAAAGCTGCGTGCGACGCCACCGGCTGGAGTTGAGAATTTATTCAAGGAAGATAGCCATTTTTACATATTCAGTATCTATTAAAATCAGATATCAAAATATTTTCAAACTGTCAATTTAGGCGAAAATCAGTGAACATGACAAGATGAAATGAATATATAAATGAAAACCTGGATACTGGTTTACAATGGTTTAAAGATTCCATAAGGTCTGCAACTGTTCGCGGGAAGCAGCGAAAATGAGGAAAAGCGAGCGAGAGAGAGATCCGAAAGACCTTTAAAGCGTCTGACAGTTATTATTGAGCTGCTTTTTAGACGATTTACAGTAAAAATTTATCATTTTTGACGATTGACTATTAAATTTTAGAATCTCAGACGACTAACGGTTAAACCTCAACTGAGACCCTCCAAAATAGCTACTATGAGCAAATGTCCCTTCGCAGTGGACATTTGCTCAAATTCATCTGGAAAACTAAACACTGAATCAAAAGTTTTCTTGACCGAAACAAAATCGTTGACATTTGAATATGAATGATTTTGGAAAATGCGGTGAACTGTGTGTATATTTAAACGGAGCGTTGGAGGAGTTTTGGAAGAGTATGAATTCTATACCTATTAATTCGCGAGAATTACCCAGAAAAAATTGTGCAGATTACTTCTAAAATCTGTTTCTTTTTGTACACATATTTTGCAGCTACAGAGGCAACTTCTGGGAAAGCCTGCCCTAATTCTACAGATCCAATCACAGAAAACAGATCCGGAGAGGACGCAAGATTATTTTACAATAGATCAATTCGTGAGAATGTGGAAGATTTTCGTGTCTATCGCGCATACGCACATTCGTCCTTATTTGCCTTCATGAACCGATATGAATCAGAAGGCACTTGTTCCGGCCCATTGATGGAGATTTGTCTGAAGGAGAAGATAGAATTTAGGAAGTGGAACCAAACCCATTTGATGATAAAAATTTTCGATGTCACTGTAAACGATAGTGGACTATACGAAGTTTCGGCAAGGTTCAGAGGGTTGCAATCAGACGAGTGGACAATGAAGTGTTTACACGTAATACATCTGGAGAAAAAAGGTAAGGAATGCATGGATATCAAGTCGATTAGTATTTTTTATGTGGGTACACGTTTATACTTTCCAGCGACCGAAGCTCGTTAGAGAACACTGAAATTGTTGAAGTTGCGCATACCTTTCTCTCTTCTGAATTAAATCAATGTCTATATATCATCATGCACCATCAACCACAGTCAACTCAAGACTACAGTACCACTACAATGAAGAGTTCTGATAAGCTCTCCTCTTCCTTGCCTCTCTCCGTTTTTAATATTTTCATTTCATTTACTTGGATATCTATCTCGTTTACCTCAATACTCAGAGTGAATATTGTATCTTGTACTCAGGACCACGGTCCACTCAGAACTACAGCGCCACTACAATTAAGAGCTATGGTAAGCTGTTCTGCCCTTGCCTTTTTCCGTTTCCATTTTGTAAATTCGTTCACCTGAATATCTATCTCGTTGACCTCGATACTCAGAGTGAATATTGTATCTTGTACTCAGGACCACGATCAACTCAGAACTACAACACTACTATAATTAATAGCTCTGGTAAGCTGTTCTGTTCCTACCTTTTACCGCTTTCTCTCTCTAAGAGTAAATATTGTGTTTATTACTCAGGACCACAGTCAACTCAAGACTACAGTACCACTACAATGAAGAGTTCTGGTAAGCTCTTCTTTTCCTTGCCTTTCTCCGTTTTTAACATTTTCATTTTATTTACTTAAATATCTATCTTGTTGTCCTCAATACTCAGTGTGAATATTGTATCTTGTACTCAGGACCACAGTCAACTCAGGACTACAGCACCACTACAATAAAGAGCTCTGGTAAACTTTTTAATTTATTTACCTGAATATCTATCTTGGAAAGATTTTTGAGAGACTGTTGTACAATTAGGAAGTAGACATAGCTTTTAAATAAATGGCAGAACCGAGAAGTTTTGATATAAACTATAGAGTACTTAGGTATATCAGTCTGTTGATTGACCCTCTCAGTTTTAAGTATATGGATCACTGTTGCTATATGCGCCACATATCCCAAATACATCTATAGAATACTTCATAGAAAGTCTGTCCGTATGCTAGTTATGCACGAGTTAGTGGTATCGGAAATCGACCAAATGAGGCAGCGAACGAGTAGGGAGATTTAATTTTTCTTTAATGACATTCTATTCAGTGTTAAAAAGATTCAAATCAAAGGCTCATTAAAACATCATGAAAGATGTAAACCATATAAATTGCCTAACTGATAGAAATGATGCAACAGTGCCGACTGCAGGTGAAAATATAAAAAATACCTCTCTTACGTGAAACATGACATATTTTAAAAGCTTGAGGATTCATGATCTTCTCCGACTTTTTGTCGAACAGATCGCCGAAAGATACCCATTGAACTCGATTTCCTCGCTCTTTTTGTCGCAAAAATTATTTGAACATGCACAATTTCAATTCTCGGTTTGTTTTCCCTTTTGTGTTTTTGTTCTGTATGCTTTCTATTGCAAAGAATCCACCACAAAAGTTTGATAAGTGACAGATCTTTCCTCAGTCATCTTTTGTAAGTAATTCGACTTGATATAAAGCCCTGAGAGAGGACTTTCATAATTTTCCGAACGGTGTGAAAAGCGGATCGCTGCAAGTGACGGTTAAACGAGAAACGCCTTGATACAGTCTACACGTGAAAAACATGATAGGCGACTCCTGATTGGCTGTATCGTTTTCCTCACACGACAAAGAATGTGATACGCGCCATTTCATTGGCTCTTGCTTCTTCGACTAGCTTGAGAATGAAAATTTATTTCCCGCCTTTTCAGTATGTTTATAATAAATAAATAAATACATATTAGGTACTCAGCCTTTGATAATCGTTTGGGTCCTAAATGTCATTAAACAGAGCCCAAGGTATCGATGGCGCCAACCAGCAGCGGCGGCAAAAAACGTAATAACTTTACATGGATAACTGTATCTGTAGTCCTTGGCACCATTTTTGGCCTACTGTTGCTTGCACTCATCCTGAAAGGAAGAAGAACAATATGTTTCCGCCAGACCTTGCCCAACGATCGCCCTCTGCTTAAACCGAAAGAAACAGTCTCAACAGCTGCAATAACAAACCCTCAGTTTTCTCATCAAGTAAGACAAGATAACACTTTGCGTGGTGGAAAAGGAGTTCAACACTGCGCAAACATTGAGGTTGTTGACCAATCAAGTGGCCGCACTCCTCTTCTGGCAACTCCTCAGGGAGAGCAAAGTCATCAGTATGAGAGATGCTCAGCAGCTCCCTACAAGATCCCAAGACCTGCAAATCCATCTTTAGCTTCTGATTCTAGGGGAAGCATTGAACTGGAACATCTGCACAACAACTTCTGCTCCCAAGTCGATAATTGCTCCACTGCCCCCTATAAGGCTCCAAGAAATCTAAATTCATCATTACCTTCTAATTTCAAGGGCGAGTCACCATACACGCCAGTACAGAGTAGCAACGACTTGGAAGTGCCCTGCGAAAGCTTGAAACTGCTTGAAAAAATCGGCGAAGGAGAGTTTGGTCAGGTGTGGAAGGGTGAGGCAAAGGATGTGGGTCATACTCAAGGTTGGTCAGAAGTGGCAGTTAAAATGTTGAAAGGTAGGGATGACTGTCAAGGTATTCAAATATTGGTGTAAACGTCAGCGTGTTTCCAACGAGATACAAAGTACGAGGAAAACCCAACGACGCGAAAGAGTTGCTTGAATTCTAATCAGAAGCAATTCTAATTACGTGAATGCTCTCAAAATCTTTTACTTTTTAATTCCTGACGCATTAGACAATTTTTCTGGTATTTTCATGGTAATGACTTAGATGCCACATAGAGAGAAGATCCCTGTTCTTTACACACCTATTATGCAAATTCCATCCTCATTATTTCTGTCAAACTTGTGTTACCATTTAAGACCAATGAAGCAAGTGTTCATTAAAACTGTTTAGCTGCGTCTATTTGTCAGTAAAACACTTCTTAAAGTGAATTTATTATAAAGTGCGTCTCGGTCGTAAGAGAGACGGTAAATGAATTTTTTTATTCGTGCGAGAGGGATAAGTAGTGAAAGCGTAACGAAAATTGCTTTAGAAAGAGGAATTGTAACCACGTTACGGGAAAGAATGGGTAAATTATAATGTGTTTAGAAATACACCTTGACATATATATATCCTATTTATGACCTTTGTTGTAGAAGAATCCTCCCTGTTGGACTCGCGGGATTTGTGGTATGAGCTGAACTTGCTGAAAAAACTTCAAGCTGTACCTCATCCTAACGTAGTACAACTGTTGGGCTGTTTGACAAAAGATATCTTCCAATGCGAAGGACGCGAATTTAGTATGTTTGGCCTATTTCATAGTAAATATCAAATCTTGTGAAAAGTGAAGGGTAGGTCTGTCTCTTTAGTATAAAAATGGACTAAATGCATCATCAATTTTAATGTTTAATTTATTTTAACTATTCATCCACTTACAGTCGCATCCTTCTGCGGGAATTCAAGCCTTTGACTGCTATAATCCAAAATTTCTCTCATCAGCTTAATGAAGTTCTTTCGATTATTGCGGTCACAGCGCTCTCTGACTGTGTCTGTTTTGGACTGTTGTTGAATTGACCTTCATTATAAGCTAATGTCTGTATATGTTTAGAGCCTCCTCTTCTTATCCTGGAGTTTGTCCCACATGGCGATCTCCTTGGATATCTTAAGAAAAGTAAAGGAGAGACAGACGACTTCCCACGGAAAATATCAACAAAACAACTTTACAAATTCGCATGCGATATTGCAAGAGGAATGGCGTTTATATCAGCTCAAAAGGTGTGCTATTTAAATTGATTTTATCCATTTTTAGTCGCAATAAAGTGATACATACATGTACATGCACTCTTTTTCACACGTCTTTTGGACTTTACGGTTTCAGCTCTAATGCTATTAAACAGCTTATTTCTTTATGATTGCATAGAGACAAAAAAAATACATAAGATGAAGGAGACATTAGGATATTACTAAGTAACTACAAATGTAGGAGAAGTCTCCCAGTTACCATCTCGTCTGAAGTCACTTCGCCTCCAAGATGAATGCCTCCTCCAAACGGGTGAACAAGTTGTCCCATATTATATTGACTGAGGTCGATGGTTACTTATCGCTTATCGCGATGCCACCGCCATTTGAGCCTTCATCGCAGTCAAAAGTGATGATTTTCTTTGTTTGATACTTTTTCTGATTTTTGTTTGAATTGTGATAAATTTCGAGGCCTTTCTTTTCTCCTCATCATGTTGATCAACCTGTAATTGTTAATTTACAGTTTAATATTAAATATATCATTAGCTCTATTTTTGTACGTACACTTAGCACACATAGTTAATCGTATATCTATAGTATGATTTTAGATAGAGGACCACAAGTTTATTTCTAATTTTTATTAAGTATTCAGTGCCACCCTCTTTAGTTTAAGTATATAATTACTGATTAATATAATTCGTACGAGTCGTTGATACTTTTTCACTCTTACGGATCTTCTCCAAACATGGTTAAACCATGAAGTGGTAATGGGTGACATCACCAGTTCCCAACATCGGCAATGAAAAGAACGTGTGTTTGTAAATATAAAAATGTGAAATTTGAAACTTAATTAAATAACCGGCCTTGACACAAGCAATGTCATTCTCCAATGAGGCTATCAGAAGGGTGACAGAGTATTCATCAAGCTGTACATTCACTCCTAGTTTATTCATCGGGATTTAGCGGCGAGGAACATTTTGGTTGGAGAAGGTCTTCGCTGTAAAATTACTGACTTAGGAATGACAAGACACGGAGGCGAGGCGCAAATTTATGTCAGAAAATCGAAGGTAAGAGTAAAGTCACCTGTAAACTAAGAGAGAGCCCACTGCCTCCAACCCCCTTCCCCCCTTTCACCTTCCCGAGACCAGGAGCTCGTCACTTCTTAGACTTGAACCGGCGAAACTCAAATATCTAAGACTAAAGAAACGCTAAACTTCATTAAAAATGCTTCCTGTGATTTGTGCTGAAAAGTTATGCGTCACTTCACAGGGAGTTGAACCACTGCGGTGGATGGCAGTTGAATCCCTGGATAGAGAAGTTTTTACCACAAAAAGTGACGTGTAAGTGGAACAGATAACTTTAATCAAAATACCAGTTTACAATCTCTTTAAGTATATACGATAGCTTTTTTTCTCAAAATTATTGTATAGCATATTTTTGAAGTACGTTGTGATAATGAAAGATTTAATCATAAAGAAATTTGATCTTTAATGTTTCCTCTTTATTTATTTTCTGCTTGACAGCTACGTGATTACCTAAACACAAAATTTCCTCGAATTCAGAGTATTTTCAATGGTAAAAGTATGCAAATGCTCTTCTCTTAATGAAAAAAGATCTGAAATAAATAGTATTGTGAATCATAAATGTGATTAATAATTCTCGTAAACGTGTTTTAGTGTCTCTCTTTTGTTTTTAGGTGGAGTTATGGCATTGTCCTGTATGAAATATTTACACTCGGTAAGTGAAATTTTTGAAACTTTTGTGGAAGACAGGAGGTTTTTTTAACACCGATTTTACTTACTGCTCCGTCAATGTGACGTACCTTAACCTAGGTGAAAAAACTTCTTTTGGTGGACAGGAGAGTATTCAGAAATTGATGACGGACAATCCCTGTTAAAATGACAAGTATTGATCCTGAGGGGTTGGTATAGAAACCGTCATTACCGAAGGTATGGTATGATCGTATGGGATTCTCCTGAAAAGGGCAAAGTGGGGGGGAGGGGGAAGGGAGTTGGGTGGGTGGGAAGTTACCATCGGAAGTCAATATGGTAATGTTTCGATTTGTCGAGCACAGCCGCCCATCAGACCATCGCTGCTTATGGAAAAACAAGGAATTGACATCAAGCCTTGACGTTGATTTCAGCTATGGTTCAGTTTAACATTTTCTTTTGGTAGAAATAGCCCTCTAAAACTGAGAGAAATGAAATGAATTTCTTTGAAGGTACAATTAGTTTGCAGAATTAAAAGGAAGCCCTTCTCACGTTTGTCATTTTTGTAGGAAATTACCCATACTCAGAAATGAAGGGACACGAAGTCCATAAATACGTGTCAGATGGTCACAGACTAGAAAGAACGTCACGTGTGAGCCTAGAATTGTACGTAAAATCAAATTTAATTTTTATTCACACTCGTCGGTAGGCCTCAGTTGAGGTTTTTTATTATAATGATGTGCAGCCAATTCTTCATAAAAATATACGTGCATTATATTGGCAATATCTTCGTCGAAAGTCCCAACAACTATGAGAACTAAATTTTTTTTAAACCTGAGACTGCAGTTGTTGGAACTCTTGTTCACATATCTTATTATTTTTGGGCTGAAGGAAATCATTTGTTACAGCATTTTATTATTTAGCGTCTTCTTATATCGATACTCGGTTGAGGAAGGCTGATCCCTGAATTTACAGTTACTGTAGTTTTCATCTAAGAGAAGAACGTCAATTTTGCTTAGCTACAGATTTGGATTGGCTCAGAAAAACTCTGGCCACATATTTGACTAATTAGGGGCAAAATAAAAACAAGGGAAATCTTATCATCTTGGTTGAGATCTGTCAAGTCTGTACTCAATGTTGTTATGAGCTTTGGTTTTTCGATCAGAAACTTCCTAGCTTTTCGCCATCGTAATTACTGCGGTTGTGGGCTTACCCCAAGCAAGCTGATAACTAGTAAGAGTAGAGCAAGGTGATAGTTTCTTAATTTATTTGGATGAGATTCTATCTTTAAATAACCGTAAGACGAATTGATTCCCACAGGTATGACTTGATGCTTCAGTGCTGGGACCAAGCGCCATCCAGGCGACCGACATTCGAATCCATTGCGACGTGGATGGAAACTTATACTCATTACTAATGCACTGAGAGTAGGAATACCAGCCAGATAAAAAGCACAGTACAGCACAGAGTTCATCAATTAATTTAAAGCAATCGAAATGTTAGAAATGTAAAATAAATATTCAAACTATAATAGTAAGTAAGTAAGAAACCTTTATTTCAATAGGATAGCTCCTTCAGTTTTTGCAAAACATAAAAACTGTTATCCATAGCGGTCCTACATATATGATAACCTAAATTGACTAGAAATAATGGTGATACCCAAGTATATTTAAAAATAGCTACAAAATGTTATAAAAAGGACTTAAAAATTAAATTACCAGAAAAATCATAAAAATCTTACAAACTGATTAAAAATTACACAGCCATGATAAAAAGGCCTTTTTCGTACATTCTAACTTTATAGACGGAAGTCTAAGTTTACCACTGCTCCTTGTTGTTCTGGGCAATACATCTTTGTTATAATTAAAGTAGTGCATAAAAACTATGAACAACGGTTGCTTAAGCAATAAAAGCATTGCGCAGCCAATCAGCTGCAGCCGATGAAATCGACGTGATATTATCGTTTTGGATGACTTCGAACAAACTATACAGATAGTATCTTACAGTTTCCAAATTCCTAGTACACCAGCCATTCTCTCACAGAAGAAAGGGGGTTAGAAAAAGGGAAATTTTGAATTAACCCTGACCCATCAACCGACGTTTTCGGGTACTACGTCGGTATAATTCGATTTTCAGTTTAATTGATCGATAGAAATATCAGATTGGATTCATAGAATGGATTCATAGAAAACAATACTGATCATCCGAGGAAGGAGACAGTCGATCGATGCAAATATCACGAACATGTCCAATCTTGGCTCACATGACATTAAATTCGATTCAATAGCTCAGCTGTAGACAATTTTGATGTGTAATAGTCGCAGATTGGATAAGTATATATTCTGAAGTGAGATACCTCTAACTAGCCGAGCTCGAGGTACTGACTGTTTATAAATTACGGACCAAGTTTCAAAGGGTTTATCTATGCACTAAACTTGAAGTACAAGCTAGTTGGCTGGTTATTAAAATCAGGAATCTGGGAATGAATGCATCGAAGGGGTAGATCTCCTCTCCCTCGGTTCTTGTATTTACATTTCTTTAAACAATTATAAGCTAAGTGGGATTTTATGTTAAAAAATCACCAAGAGTGTTATCTTATGTTAAGGATTCATCATATAGTTTCACACCTCTTCAGTCCACTGACCATTCTTAACATATTGTTTATGAAAATGTAGGAGAGAGAAAGTGAATTTAAATAGACAATTTAAATAAGTTTATTGTTGATCAAGAAGTAGCTGAAAAAGTTTGGTGAGAGTGCAACCTTACGCCATGCTAAAAACTCAGCTCTCTTGTAGATCGACACTTTGCATCAAAGATATGCTCTAGCGCTGATTCCATGTTGCACTGACCCTTTCCACGCCAGCGTGTAGTGTGTCGGTCGAAAGACGGCACAAACTGGTCCTAGCGTGGTGAGGCTCGGGTGAAATCTGAGCTCGGTAAGTGATTAATTTGAACTTTAATACGGTTAATCGAAGGCTTATGATTGACCTCTTCGGTCCACATCATGTGTCGACGGCAGATGATGAGCGAATTTCGGAAATCGAGCGTGCTTTTGAGGTGGTTAAAGGCGGGCAATTGCACTAATTTTCGGCTTAGCTCTTACACGTTTATAGATTTTTAACGTGGCCGAAGCTGGGAGGTGAGCAACATTTGGAAGCGATAGAAATTCGGCGAAGTTCTGGAGGCTTTCGGCCTAGACGGTCCTGGAAGTTGCAGGCCTCGTGTTTTTTCTTTGCCCATGTTTGGAGGGGCATCAGTGCAAAGTGGCGAATCAACCGTCCCAAAACCCTGAAAAATCACTCGAGACAACACAGAAAAACGAAGCTAAGTGAACTTTATTTATCTGACTGTCGTTAAACGGATTTTGGGGATAAAATGTTGCGATTTGCAGAATTTATGAAACATTTCTCGGGATCACTTGCGTCTCTCCGAGATCGACCGTTGCAAATCACAAACAATGTAAGAGTTCAACTAGCGTATCAAATAACTGACGTCACGCGGCCTCAAACCCACAGGATTGTTTGCCTATGTTGACAGTTTCTAGTGGACACAAAGCTCATTCTCGGAATTTCAAGGCTGTCCCTTTTCACGCACGAATAGACTCGCTTTCCTTTTTTCCCAGAAATGATAAAAAAGCCCCATCGTTTAAAACAATAGCTTTTAAACACTTTTAAATTGAGTTGTCAAATGGAGCATAATGCAAAACCGTGAGCATGATTTTGGGCATAATGCTATGTTACAGAGTCAGGACTCGAAAGCATAGTGCTCGAATTGACGAGCATATATCTGACCCTTAGCTTGATAGAGGACCAGAGCCCTTAAAAACGCTTATTTTGCCTGGTCAAGTATTGTTATGATACATTAAAATATAACGAGACACATTGCCGATGACGATGTTTGCTACAAAGTTATAGACTGTTTTGTGGATGTCCTATTGCATATGTACACCACGTGCTTTACCGTTGCTTCTCTTGATTGGCTGCTAAAAAAAACAACGATTATTTTTAGGAATGGCGTCAAATCCATACGCAATCTACCTTTTTAAGAAATATCGAATGAGCTAGTCATGAGCATGAAAATATATTGATCCGGGCTACAATTATATTTGTCCTTCGTTTTGTGGCTGAATTGGCGTCCAAATTATCAGAGCAGGTTTTCTTTGAATCCCTCGCGTGACGTAGACAAGGTAATCAAACGAGCTGGGCTGACGATATTGAAAACGATGAAGACACCATCAGTCCTTTCAGTTTGCTCTCTTGCGTTTCTGTTCACCTCAGGTGAGTCAAACTACAAAGTCTTTCAGTTCCGCTATTTCTAGGAACTTTCTATGCTACAGAGACCGAACCGAAAGGCGGAATATCTTTCTCAGACATGGCGTGGTGCCCACTTCTTTATTGTCAATGAAGTACAAAAGATGTTTCTTCAGTTTAGAAATGAGTTATGATGTTGAATGGAAAGTGAAACTGATTTGTATCGATCACAACAAACGAAGCGAATCGGCTGACACCGCGGCATCGCCGTGTATTGATAATTTGCAAGGGCAGATGTCTTTGACGAAGCTTCAACTCAAGGCCTAATTGCTGAAATGTGTGTAGCAATAACAAAATTATTTCATCGACATTTAAAGATGTAGATTTAGAAAACCCATACGCGGAATTTTGTTCAAATAAATAACTTTTCCAGAGATGATTTCCGAGTAATCTAATGTGGTAAACAACATATTTTTCAAAATTTCGTGTTCCCTTAGATGTCTTCATAAAGGTCACATTCTTAGAAAAGCGAAATTTCATCAGCGTAAGCAATAATTTGAGTCTAAACAGATCGGCTGACAATTGGGATCAGAGCTCTCAAAACCCTCAGAATGAAGTCACTTAAATCTCATGAAGGTTTCATAAAACTTGTTTTCTAACCAAGCTTCTTACAATCTTATCACGGATGCCAGAACTTTTCCCTCTACCCCACCATGATGTGAGGCTGTAGGAGAATTAAAATTCCACTCGATACCATTGCGTAAAAAAGAGTAATGGATCTTCTTCTGGTTTCCTACAATAATCATAACACGAAGCCTCTTTTCATACATTGTGAAATTTGTACCATCGTCCTTAACCTGACCTCTGCGGGCGATAAATGATTTAGGAGCCATTATTTTGCTCTGAATCATGGAAGAATGTCCATATCGGCAACCACTCTGACTATCGTGGTTGGTTCGTAATGCACTTGCTAAATGAGTAATTAAAGTTTTCCTTCCAGGTGACCGTTTTAGAGAGTTTTAACTTAATATTTCGAGAATGCTGCAGACCACAACTTACTCACCAAACACATGACTCTTTCATCCAACATATGCCATGAAGTGTCTTGTCATTTGAGGCTGCCAAGAATTACGTCTTCCCCAAACAATCCATTGATTGGCAAGCGAAAAGAAAACGTAACTTTGAGCTGGAAGTTTGAGCTGCGTCCCACAGAGACATGGAATAATTCTATAATCGAAGTGGTCTTTGGTGAGTGGAAGTATCCTGGATTCCTCAAGAAAAAACTTATGCTCATTAACAACACTGGCGGAAAAATAATACGAGAGAACTATGAGAAAAAGATAAGCTGTCACTTCGACATGTCTCTCTTGCAAGTGGCATTCATTCTTCACGATTTGGATAAGAGCGATGAGAATGAATATGGCGTTCAAGTTGAGTTTGACCTGAGTCAAGCTCCCTTAACGGATAGTGTCAAACTTCGTCTTGAAGGTAATAAGTCCTCGATTGTCGTACGCACTGTGTCATATTCAAACATAAAAGTGTGACTAAAATGTTCTCACATATTAGATCAATTTCTAACAATTTTAAACCCTTCAACCATAATCAAGTTTTTCATGAGAAAAGCTCAAGTGGATAACAAACAAGGGCTGCAAGGAATTACGGGAAAATTTATCGATCGTTACTTTCATCCTGGCTTTGGTAAACAACCATCCTCAAAAATTCAGAATTTCATGCTGGATGTAACGTGTCTCGTTATTCAAGACTGTAAATCAATATCTCAGGAAAGTTTTGACTCTGTACCTGCCTACCACCATTGAACTACTAAAGATGGAAGCCGGGAAGTACTTAGAATACGTAAAAGGAAAATATGTCGTAAACTGATGCAAATGTAACCCAAAGTACAGCAGTGGAACCTTTTGTGAGTTGATACTCACTGATTATAGGCATAGTTTATTTGGTAATCATGTTTTTGATCAAGGTAGACACAAATTAATGATTTGTATTCCGGATGGTTTTTCCTTTTTCTTTTCCTATTAGACCCACCTAAAATTAACACTCCTCAACAAAAAAACATCTCCGTGAGGGATAGTGAACCACTGATGATAAAATGCCATGCAAGTGGATTTCCCACACCAAACATAACATGGAAAAGACTAGGGAAAACCATTGGAAACCAAGCTCTTTATTTCAATTCTATAAAGAAAAGTGACAGCGGAGTTTACCAGTGTGAAGCTCATAACCAGGCAGGCAAAGATAGCACGGAAATCACTGTCAGAGTTGATGATTCTGACGATCTGGAGTCTCCAACAACGGAGAGAGGTAAATTTAATTAATGTATGTTAACCCATCTTCGAAGTGATTTAAAATTAGAGAATGTATGTCCTCACACCTTCCTAATCGCAGGGAAATAAGAGCTGATTTTTTTAAATAAGGATGAACTGAGAGAGGAATAAGACCTTTTTAAAGGTTACGAAACAGCCTACGATAAAAGTTTCTCTTAAAAAGCAACCTGACATAAACACTAAATCCTTTTCCCAACAACTTATTATATCTCTTCTTTCTTTTCCAGTTCCTGAATCGCCACCTGGAACATCAAAGGCCAATAGATCCGTGTGGATCATCCTCTTACTGGCCATTACTGGAGTACTTATCATACTAATTATGATAACACTCATAGAAATGATGTGTCGCTCTCGAAAACGTTGCCAAAAGGATGATATTAGAAGGATTAGATACAAGAAGCAAATAGACTTTACAGGATCGAATGAATATTTTACTCCTATCACTAAGCTGAAGACAGTGTTAAGTTCTCAGTCATTATAGACAATCGATAAGCGGGAAAACGAGAAACAGCTATAGACGGGGAAAGGAAAAACGACGAGGGAGCATGCAAGTGTTTTTTTGAATATCCATCAAGGAGCTTACCCTAAGGAAAAAAAAACAGACATATCCCATGATTCACCCGTCTGATTTAGATTGTCTCCATGTGCTGACCAAAAACTGGCCATTCGTTTTCAGTTTTAACTTTTTTCAGTTTTAAAAAATTTACTCCTACAATAGTTTGAAATCAAAGTAAATATAGTTGCTTACAACTGCACATAATTATATGTGTAAGAAGCCAGATTTGGTAGTGTCATGATCTGCTGCTAATGCCCACTAAATATGATAAAACGTGTAACTTATTCTCCTTTACAATCTGAAGAGACCTGAAAGTTGTCTTACAGTTTCCAAATTCCTACTGCACCACCCACTGACAGAAGAAATGAGGGTAGAAAAAGAAAATTTATGAATTAACCCTGACTCGCCCACCGTTTTTTTAGGTACTACGTCGATATAAAGCTGCCAATGGCCCAAGATAGATACAGAACGTTATAAGAACACATTTGTAAAAAGATTAACTTTTAAAAACAACCTTTTATTATTATTATTATAATTCAGCTTTTAGTGCGATCGATCAACACTGGATTTTCGAAAAACCGCAGCTGCTCGAGCAAAAAGGGAGACGCAGTCATTTAATTATCTCAAACATGTCCACATTTCCACATGTCTGCAAATTGTTTCTAGTGTCTCAGCGATTGGAGATTTTAAAGTGTATTCGTCGAAGATTAGATAAATATTTTGCAATGAGACACCCCCTAGCTAGCTGAGTTTCAAAGGGATGATTATTTGCACAAATTGGTATGGAATAAGCTTGAAATACAAGCTCGTTGGTAGGTAGAAATTCAGGAATCTTGGAATTTTGGAATTGGAACATGAAAATGAAGTCAGGAGGGAGGTAGTTCCAGATTAAAACATGTGTACTCTATTCTATTCTTGCATTTACATTTCAATTAACACATTCTTTACATTTCTAAGAGCTAATTGGTGAGAGTGAATTTCAATTAACCCTGACTCGTCAAGATATTTGAAGTTAATTTACTGTAGAATTTCAAAATTGTTCACACCTACATCATCTGGTTTTATTTAGGTTTTGTCGTAAATTCAGAACTCGAGCAATGAGAAGTGGAAAGGTCTTTCATTATTACATTTATGAATTTTTAACATGAGCCTCGGGCTTATAAGATTACACAAGCGTTTCACACATTTACTGTGCGTGAAGAGGTGGCTGAATTTTTCTGGTGCGAGTGTAACCTCACGCCATACTAAAAACACGAGGATGTTTACTGAAGACGCCAGCAGATCCTATGGTAAAGTCAGGCAACCGTTTCGGCTCCTTTCTAGATCGACCCAAAGCTCAGTCTCGGGATTTCAAGGTAATCGCTTTTCACGCACTGATAGAGACACTTTCCTTTTTTCCCAGAAAAGAACAAAGCTGTATTGTTTACAAAAATAGCCGAAACAAGCCCATGAGTAATGCATGGCAATGAGATGCAGAGCCATTCTCGACGCGTGTTCCCCGGTGGGATTACACTCGAAGTGTCCGGCCAACATGAAGTTTCTCTTATGCGGTTTGGTTTGTATTTTAACTCTGATTCAAGGTGAGTTGACTGTCAATGCTCAAAACATACATTTGCGATATATTTAATTAGCTTTCGAGATGATGAAAAAAACTCGCCGTTTCCAAGTATGTATTGTACTAGAGATGGAAACCGAAAGCAGCCGTTATGAAAATACGTATTTTACGTAATGTTCTTATTCTTAATTAAACAGTAATGCCTCACTGAATGAAATAACTGATTCGCAAATAAAATTATGCATAAAGTCACGACAATTACCTTAAGCGTCATAACCATCCGTGGGCTTCCTGCTTTTCTCGGAAACAAGACACACTTCTAGGAAAAGTTAATAATATATCAGTAATGAAAACGCTTCAATGAATTTTAAGCACAAGAAAGCGTTGTTTGAAACTATTTGAAAATTTACAATTGTTTATAATAGTTTTCCTCATTCTTTCGTTCCTGTAACCGGCATTGATCCCCGCAAAATCGGCAAAATAGCTAGTGTGATCAAAATGAGAGTTCGGAATTTCCATCATGCGTGTAAACGTCTGGTAATCTAATCTCGTCGTAGTGGACATGTGCTCGAATTCCTCCAGAAACCTAAATTCTGACTGAAGGTTTCTCGACCGAACTAAATTGTTGAAATGTGAATACTATGAATGTTTTTTAGAACAAGTGGTGAGCTGTTTGTATATTTTAACAGAGCCGGTTTTAGAAGTTTTGGAAAAGCAAGGATACTTTACCAATGCATTTAAGTTCAATTTTCCCTGGGAATCTAAGTAGCATAAAATTTATAATTCTGAAGATTGCTTTTAAAATTTTTGTATTCAAATTTTTCAGCTATCACAACAACTGCAGGAGCTGTCTGTCTGGATTCTACAGTTACATTTGCAGTTAATTCTGGAGTTAACGCAAGCCTTCCTTTCAACGCATCAGATTATGAGAATCAAAAAGATTTCCGAGTCTATCGTGCTCAGAGAAACTCTATAGAATTTGCTCACATGACAAAAGATGTATCGAAGGGCGATTGTTCTGGTCCACTGTCGGATCTTTGTGTGAAAGGGAAGATAGAGTTTGCGAGGGATAACCAAACCCATTTGTTATTGGTGAAGATCTTCCATACCACTGTTAATGACAGTGGTCAATACGCAGTCTGGACTAGATTTTACAGTGGTAATTTCCATGACGACGAGAAAACAGCGAAATGCTTAAAGGTGATAAATGTGAAAGTAGAAGGTAAGGAATGTATATGTGTCATCTTTATTATCAAAGTATCCTGCTACTGTTCCCCATCAGAGAGCAAGGAGATGTCTGAGGTTATCAACTATTTTATTCCCAAGAACCCACCACACTAAACTGCTTGAGACTTTGGTTTGTTATTTTTTCGCAGTTCTGTCAGCTTCAGATCCTTTCGAACTAACTTTGAGACGAGCAGGGGAGTTTACGAAAGCTTTTGGCTCTGTCTTGTTACAGCAATGATTAAACATATTTTTTTAAAAAACATATTATGTTACATTCTGTACAGTTCAGTTAACGGAAAGGACATTTGTAGTCAGGACCGCTGTCTCTCTTGTTCCTTGAAACTGAGCATTTCTTCCGCGGAAATCAACTTTTAAATCTTTGTGTAAACTAAGGCGGCCCAGCATTGCTTATTCTAAACCAGTTTCTACCATGAATTAATAATCCCGCTTTTTATCTACAACATTTCTACTAAATTCATACATAAAATGCACAATTTAAAATATATCATCATTCATGTCTTAGATAACTCCACAGTAGCCACGACAAGTCCAGTTTCTCAGTCGACTCAAGTCTACAGCACCAGCAGCAGCCCAGGTAAGCGTTGACAAAGGGAGTAGTCATTCGTACCCTGTAACACACAAATCATTACTGTACGCTACGCTTCTGGATAAGCAAACCATGCAAACTTTTTCACTGCCCGATGAGCTGAAACTCAAACTCACTTGAAAGCTTGTCTCGAGAGTTTTGAACCTCCTGCCCTCGGATTTCTTAGAATTGATTATCGTATAGAGATGCAGTCTTTTGTGGAAATTGTTAGGCTTTGGATCTTCATACACTGCTCCAGTCGTAAAGAAATGCACAAATCATGTGATAATTTTGCCGGAATGGATGACGGAAGTGACATTGAAATAAACTGCCTTGCATGGTTTAACCTGGACAACATCTGCCATGAATTATTAATTCCGTTATATAAATTACTGATTGTATTTTTCTAAATTCATGCTGAAATGTACAAATGATATCATGTCAGTTTTAATTTATATAACTCCACAGAAACCCAGACAAGTCCAGTTTCTCAGTCGACTCAAGTCTACAGCCCCAGCAGCAGCTCAGGTAAGCGTTGCCTGGGGGAGTAGTCACGTTTAGTCTTTAACACACGGCTTTATTGACGGCTTATCCAGTTCAACTGAGTTGATAATGTAATTTCCGCCATTAAGAGATTCAAAAGCTAATATCTCGAGCGTCAACCTCTCGTCAGAGTAAATCAACAGCTAGATTTAAGCTCCTCATATACGAACGACAAGCCACGCTAAAGATCATTTTTCTCTATGTAAACCCTAGACTGAGTTCCACGCTGGCATAACTTCTCGAATGTTTCCGGCCCCCTCGTGTCCAGATGAACATGTAAACGCGAGAAAAGTCCTCTAATTCTTTGCTTCCGATGTTTGGATTGTTTCAAGCAATTCCGGCCATCATTTCATAACCCTTCCAATTTCTTTCCGGCTGGAAGTGAACGTAACGCTTCCTGGAGCAATAAAAAAATAATAGTAAATGTCATCTAGGAAACAATGATAAAAGCCACAAAGTGCTACTAAATATTAAAGATAAAAAATTCTCTCGAGCTCAAAATTTCATGGTCTATTAAAATTGTACCAACGACATAAAGATAAGTAGCCTTCAAATAATAAGGACAACCAACAAAATCCGCATCAAAATTTCTCAGCTTATTAGTTACAAAATCTCACCTTTTGAGCAGCCATATTGGATTCCTATACGTTCGCTACCTCGCAGAATACATTTGTGAATATGCAAAACGCCTCCGGATAGGCTTCAAGATTTGTGATTGAACCGAATACTTGTTTATCAGTGTTAATATTAAAGATACCTGCTAATAAACTAGGACACTAAACAACTAAGGTCTACAACAGTAAGGAGAAATTCCCTCTAGTGAGTAGTTCTGACATCAGCTCTTTCTAATTTTTTGCGTGCTCACTTCTTGCATATCATTCTCACCAGCTGACTTACTTACCAGCGTGAATATTGTATCTTTTATTTTCCAGGTCCCGGAGGGAAGACGGCAGAGATTGTACTAGGGGTTCTTTTAGCTATCACATTGCTCATAATTGCCGGCGGTTTACTCTATTATTTTAGATGTCTTAAAAAGCCTAAACCATCAAAATCAGGACGTAATGGCGAAGAAATGGATTTCATTGGAGTATAATATAATAACGAGCAAATGGCTCACAATGAAGCGCCAACTCAACCAGACAACTGAATGGCCCAAAGAACGACTGAAGGGAGAGAAGTTGTTATTTTCTTTCATTCCGCATTTTATTATTTTCATTCTCCTTATTATGCCGTTACTCTTACGGAAACTGTGGTCAAATAAAAATCCATTTGAAAAATTTATATATTTCCTGACTATTGAGCTATGGGAACGAATTTGACAGAAAGTAAGCCTAACGCACAACTGGAAGTATACATTTCTATGGAAGAGCGCAGAAAAGTGAGTAATTTCGCGGGAAAATCAAGTACCAGCGGGACGACTCGGTCAGTCATGGATGAGCACATTTTTTCAATTAAATTCCTCGTATTGTAAATTGTACTGAGACTCTTCTAAAGTATTATTGCCAGATGAGACAGAACTTTCCCACGGGGTGAAGCGATAGGTGATGAGTTCAAACGTTTCCTCATATTTTGGAGCCACTTTTGTAGCTGATTCCTAAGTAACCTGATTTTTCGTATGCAGCGTTGCGAGTGTCAGCACGCATTATTAAGATACTCTTTGCGCCAGACTCTGTCTTAAAGAGACCTTTCAGATTGGTTGTTTGGCTTGAGCGTAGTCCGAAAACTAATCCTAACCATGGTCAACAAATGAAATGTTATATGATGTTGTTGATTGGGTGTTTGCTTTCATTTATATTTTGAATCACTGGATGTTTATGTTTACAGTGAGCTCAAAGAAAAACGAGAATCTGTGATCTTTGATAAAAGAATCAACCTCAGTAGCCATTTTAATTGAAGATTTTTAAAAAGGCAGGTTTCTCTATTTCATCCCCAGGCCTAAATCTAAAGTATCCTAATAATTAACGTATTTGTCAATCATTATCAAAGAATCGCTCTCACTTTCCATGAATTTAACCTGTTGATTCTGTATATCTAATGGCCAAGGCAGCTCAAACAAGTCACCCCAGGGTCTTAACATCATGTTAAAATTCCTACAAAATCACCATCTTATTCATTGGCAACTCGTGTTAATTTTTAGCAGTCCTAACCGTCGCTCCACTAGATACATTTTCTCCATAACGCAAAAATTTTGTTTGGATGTACAGATATGAATGATTCTCGGCGACTCTAGGGTTTAGCAGTTGAAATGAAAATATGACATCTTCATTGCAATCACACAACTGTTTCCTGTGGTTCCACTTTGATTTTGAACAATTTCGAAATCATTTCCATGATCAATCAGAGCAAAGATAATGACAAAATTTTAGAAAAATTTTAAACTTGCGACCTGCGTCGATTTTCTTTCTTAGCAATAACCTCATATTGATCACCGACTGACATGAACGGAAGAGCAAAGTGCGGGACAACCTTGCTCAAGTAAGCGACCTTGGCAATAGAGGGAATAATTTGTCTTCTTTAGCGGTCAGCTAATCAGTTAAGCTCTTTAAAACTTAAAGTGTGAGCGATTAGCTACCATCTTTATTGTTAATATTTAATTTCACTAATAAAGTGTCAACTAATTAGTTATTCATTCCTGTTCGCGTGACGCGATCAAGACTGATATTTTGTTAGTAATATCTTTGTTGCGCTGACTCAGCACATGTTAGAGCCATGAAACGTGTAAACTATTGCACAACCTTAGTACAATGGACATTTACTGTTTACTTTCTGTCTCAAGGTAAGTTAAGAGCGTCAAAAGATCTAAATTTATCTTTAAATTGAGAAGTCCCTTTCAGGGCCGACGCTTCGCAAAGTATTCGTTTCAAGAGAAGCTGTATATCCGTTTGAAATAGCCGTTCATAATAGCCGTTCATAATCAATCGCACATATTTTACCCCATTCTTCGACAATAGACGCTCTTTTTGGCCTCTTATTTCGACTCTAATTGTGTGGTTATGATTCGAAACCAAGAGCTCTTTGGTTTTGTCGTGAGTCCCAGTTTGGTTTTGCGGTGAGCCGACATTTTAGTTTTACCATGAGGTATTTGTTATAACCGTGACGGTTGTGTTGTGGGCCTCCGTTTTATTCCGATTCGACCGATAAACTAAACAACGGTTTAAATACTATCACTGAATAAAGGGAGTAAGTTTCTAAAGAAACTGTGGGGCTGCGTTAGTGGTAGAGTATAACAAGATAATTTGGTTATAAGTTGATGATTTAAAGGCTCGAAATGAACAACAAAGTACTTGCTTCCGGTCAACGCAATCAACCCCTGACTGCGTTAGCCGAAAAAAAAATCTTTCCCGTGGGTCCAAAGCAAGGTCAACACAAACTATGCACATCCAATGGGAAACTCATAGACGATAACTTAAAACCAAATAACATCGGATTATCAATTCATAGAGTAACTAAATTCTCAAAATAAACAAAAGACCAAATCATTCTAAACTGACAAACTAATTATAAACGAACTTAATATTTCATAACAAAGCCGAATTATCCTGTAAATACTATATCGTTGTTTGTTATAAATATAGATATGCTATTCACCAGCCGGGATGATTACATCAATGCAATAAAGTCCAAATTTACTCGGGTATCTGAGTAGCATAAAATTTAAAACTCTGAAGATTGCTTTTAAAATTTTTGTATTCAAATTTTTCAGCTATCATGGCAACTGCAGGAGCTGTCTGTCTTGATTCTACTGATACATTTGCAGTCAATTCTGGAGTTAACGCAAGCCTTCCTTTCAACGCATCAGATGATGAGAATCTAAACGATTTCCGAGTCTATCGTGCTCAGAAAAACTCTATGGAATTTGCTCACATGACAAAAGATAAATCGAAAGGCGATTGTTCTGGTTCATTGTCGGATCTTTGTGCGAAGGGGAAGGTAGAATTTAGGAGAGATAACCAAACTCATTTGTTACTGGTGATGATTTTCCATACCACTATTAATGATAGTGGTCAATACGCAGTCTGGGCTAAATTTGACAGTGGTAATTTACATCCAGACGAGAAAACAGCGAAATGCCTTAAAGTGATACATATGAAAGTAGAAGGTAAGGAATGTATATGTGTCATCTTTATTATCAAAGTATCCTGCTACTGTTCCCCATCAGAGAGCAAGGAGATATCTCAGTAAGGTTATCTACTATTTTATTCCCAAGTAACTACCACATTAAACTACTTGAGACTTTGGTGTTGTTATTTTTTCGCAGTTCTGTGCTTTAGATCTTTCGAACTAACTTTGAGACGGGCAGACTGAGAAATTAATGAAAGCTTTTTGCTCCTTCTTATTACAGCAATGAATAAATATATTTCAAAAGCATATTATATTAAATTCTGTACAATTAACGGAAAGGACATCTGTATTCAGGACCACACACAAATCATTTATGAACGCAACGCTTCTGGATAAGCAAACCGTGCACGAGTTTTTCGCTTCCCGATGAGTTGGAACTCAAACTCACTTGAATGCTTGTTTCGAAAGTATTGAACCTCGTACCTTCGGACTTCTTGGAATTTATTTCTGTATAGAGATGCAGTCTTTTGTGTAATTGCTAAGCGTTGAATGTTCATACACTGCTCCAATCGTAAAGCAATGCACAAGTCATGTGATAATTTTGGCGGAATGGATGACGGAAGTGACATTGACATAGACTGCCTTGCATGGTCTAGTCTGGGCAACACATGCCATGAATTACTAATTCCACTATGCATCTATTAATTATTTTTTTAAAACATTCATGTTGAAATGCACAAATGATATCATGTCAGTTTTGTTTTTGATAACTCCACAGAAACCACAAGTCCAGCTCCTCAGTCGACTCAAGTCTACAGCCCCAGCAGTAGCTCAGGTAAGCGTTGCCAGGGGGAGTAGTTACCTTTAGTCTGTAACACACGGCTTTATTGACGGCTTACCTGCGTTGTTAATATAATTGGCCGCCATTAAAAGATTCAAAAGCTGACATTTCGAGCGTTAGCCTCTCGTCAGAGCGAATCAACAGCTAGACATGAGCTTCACATATACGGAAGACAAGCCACGCTAAAGATCATTTTACTCAATGTAAACCCTAGACGAAGTCCCGCGTTTGTATAACTCCTCGTGTCTAGTTGAACTATGTAAACGCTAGAAAATGTCTCTAATGCTGAAATATAAAATACTCTGCTTCTGATGTTCTTATTGTTTCAAGCAATTCCGGCTATCATTTCATAATCCTCCCAATTTCCTTCCGGTTGGAAGTGAAGGTAACTCTTCCTGGTGCAATAAAAAAGAAAATAAATTATAGCAAATGTCAAATAGGTAACAATAATAAAAGCCACAAAGTGCTATATGGCACTTTCAGTAATGAGAAGTCTTAAGGTAAGATAACTCCACAGAAACCACGACAAGTCCAGTTCCTCAGTCGACTCAAGTCTACAGCTCCGGCAGCAACTCAGGTAAGCTGGCGTTCCCCGGGGAAGTAGTCATTCGTACTATGTAACACACAAATCATTGCTGCACGCAACGCTTCTGGATAAGCAAACCGTGCACAACTTTTTCACTGCCCGATGAGCTGGAACCCTCTTGAATGCTTGTCTCGAAAGTATTGGACCTTGTACCCTCGGATTTCTTGGAATTGATTACTATTTTAAGATGCAGTCTTTTGTGTGAATTGGTAAGCGTTGGATCTTCATACACTGCTCCAGTCGTAAAGAAATGCACAAGCTACGTGATAATTTCACCGGAATGGATGACGGAAGTAACATCGACATAGACTGCCTTGCATGGTTTAATCTGGACAACATCTGTCATGAATTACTAATCCCGCTATGCATATATTAGATTTTTTTCTAAATTCATGTTGAAATGTACAAATGATATCATGTCAGTTTTAATTTATATGACTCCGCAGAAAACAAGACAAGTCCAGTTCCTCAGTCGACTCAAGTCTACAGCCCCAGCAGCAGCTCAGGTAAGCGTTGCTAGGGGAGTAATCACCTTGATAATGTGATTGGCCGCCATTAAGAGATTTAAAAGCTGATGTCTGTCTGAGCGTCAACCTCTCGTCAGAGTGAATCAAAAGCTAGATATGAGCTCCTTATATACGAACGACAAGCCACGCTAAAAATCATTTTACTCTATGTAAACCCTAGACCAAGGCCCCCTCGTGTCCAGATGAGCATGTAAACTCGAGCAAAGTCCCCTAATTCTTCGCTTCTGATGTTTGGATTGTTTCAAGCAATTCTGGCTATCATTTCATAACCCTTCCAATTTCTCTCCGACCGGAAGAGAAGGTAACGCTTCCTAGAGCAATAAAAAAAAATTTAGGAAATTTCATCTAGGAAACAGTGATAAAGCCACAAAGTGCGACATGGCACTTTCAAATAGTGAGAAAGTCTTAAAACTTGCTCCTAAATATTAGCGATAAAAATTCCCTCCAACTCAAAATTTCTATGGTCTACATAAAGAGCAAGTAGCCTTCAAAATATATAGGGACAACTAGCAAAGTCCGCATCAAAACTTCTGAGCCTATTAGTTACAAAGTCTCACCTTTTGAGCAGCCATATTGGATTTCAATACGTTCGCTACCTCGTAGAATACATTTGTGAATATGCACAACGCCTCTGAATAGGCTTGAAGTTTTGAGGTTGAACCGATGCTTGTTTATCATTGTTAATATTTATAGTATACCTGCTCATAAACTAAGACACGACTAGTTTCTCCGTCAACTAAGGTCTACAACAGTAAGGAGAAATACCAGTAGTGAGTAGTTCTGACATTAGCTTTTTCTCATTTTTTGCGTGCTCACTTCTTGCATATCATTCTCACCTGCTGGCTTTATTTTCCAGGTCCAGGAGGGAAGACAGTAGGGATTGTACTAGGGGTTCTGTTGCCCATCGCATTTTTTATAACTGCCGGTTTATTTTACTATTTTAAATGTCGTAAAAAGCCTACACCATCAAAATCAATAGGAGGTAATGGCGAAGAAATGGCTTTCGCTGGAGTACAAAATAATAGCGAACAAATGGCTCACAATGAAGCGCCAACTCAACCAGACAGCTGAATGGCAGCCTGAAAAGTGAGTTACTTCGTGGGAAAATCAAGTACCAGTCCCACGTCGGTCAGTCTTGGATGAGCACATTTTTCAATTAAATTCCTCGTATTGCAATTTGTACTGAGACTCTTATAAAGTATTATTGCCAGATGAGACAAAACCTTCCTACGGGGTGAAGCGATACGTGACGAGTACAAACGTTAACTCATATTTTGGAGCCACTTTTGTGGCCGATTTCTAAGTTACGTGATTTTATGTTACGTGATTTTTCGTATGTTGCTGATTTCTCGTATGTTATGTTGTCACTGAGTCAGACGCAATCGAGGCAGCGACACTGGATGTTTATGTTTACGGTGCGCTCAAAGAAAAACGAGAGTTTGTGAACTTTGATAAAAGAACCAACCTAGCCACTTTTAGGAACTTTTTTATCAAAATAACTATAGACTTGTAAAAAGGCAGTTTTCTTCATTTCATCCCCGAGCCTAAATCTAAAATATCCCAATAATTAACGTACTTGTTAATCATTATGGAAGAATCGTGCTCACTTTCGATGTATTTAACGTGATGATTCTGCCTATCTCATGGCCAAGGCACCTCAAAAAAGTCACCCCACGATCCCAGCATCATGTTAAAATTCCTAAAAAAGGCAGTTTTCTTCATTTCATCCCCGAGCCTAAATCTAAAATATCCCAATAATTAACGTACTTGTTAATCATTATGGAAGAATCGTGCTCACTTTCGATGCATGGCACCTCAAAAATGATTCTGTTAAAATTCCTATAAAATCACCACCTTATTCCTTGGCAACTTGTGTTAACTTTTAGCAGTCATAACGGTCACTCCACTGGATATATTTTCTCCATAACGCGAAAATTTTGTTTGGATGTACAGATATAAATGATTCTCGGTGACTCTTGGGTTTAGCAGTTGAAATGAAAACGTAACTTTTAAGTGCACACACGATTCGCTCAAGGAAGCGATCTTCGCAAAAGAAGGAATAATTTGTCTTCTTTAGCGGTCAACCAATCAGTTTAGCCCTTTTACAACTTAAAAGTTTGGGCGATCAGCTACCGTCTTTATTGTTAATATGTAATTTTAACAGTACAGTGTGCACTACGTTTTTGATGTTTAAATGCAATAATAAAAGCATACGTTGATTTTGTACATTATGATTTTCAAACACAACAACTTGTATGATTTATTTCGAGGGCAATTTCTCTCCTTCTCTCGAGTCAAAATTAACTCCGAGCTTTTGGTGGGAGCCTACCCTTCTCAAGGGCTTTAAAAGACTAATGTATCCCCTCATTTCCGATCATATCGTTTCTATTCATCTCTGATCGCGTGACCGAAAACAGGATACCGCAGAATTTCGAGAATTTTAGCTTAAGGCTTTATCTTTGTTGCGCTGACTCAGCACATGTAGGAGCGATGAAACGTGTAAAATATTGCACAGCCTTCATACAATGGACATTCACTGTTTACTGTTTGTCTAAAGGTAAGTTTATAGCTTCAAACGACCGAAATTCATCTTAAAATTGAAAAGTCCTTTTCGGGGCCGACGCTTCGCAAAGTACTTGTTTCAAGAGAAGCTGTCTGGCGTGCCTATATCCGTTTGAAATAGTCGTCCATAATCAATAGCACTTATTTCACCCCATTCTTCGACAATAGACGCTCTTTTTGGCCTCTTATTCGACTCTAATCGTGTGGTTATAATTCAAAACCAAGAGTTTTGTCGTGAATACCAGTTTTGTTTTGCCGTGAACCTTTGGTTTTGTCGTGAGCTTTTCGGTTTTGCCGTGAGGTATTTGTTATTGCCGTGACGGTTGTGGGCCACCGCATTATTCCGATTCGGCCGCTAAACTAAAAAAAAGTCTAAATACTAACATTGAATAAAGAAACTGTGGTGCTGCGTCTGTGGTGGAGTATAACAAGATAATTTGTTGATGATGTAAAGGCTCGAAATGAACAAGAAAGTACTTAATCATAATGCATCCGATCTCTGACTGCATTAGCCAAAACAAAAACTTTTGTGTGGGTTCAAAGCAAAGTCAGCATCCCATGGGAAACTCATAAACCATAACTGAAAACTAAATAACCTCGGACCATGACTTCATACTGTAACTAAATTCTCAATACAAACAAAAGACCAAATCATTCTAAACTGACTAACTAATTATAAACGAACTTTATATTTCATAACAAAGCCAAATTATCTTGTAAGTACTATATCGTTTTTTGTTACATATACAGGGTTTTATTTTGCGTTGTTTGTATAGATTGACTTTAAAAGCACAGCTTTGAAACATGTGTTAGCTCTATGAGTGTCGTGCCTAATAATTTATCTAACCATCTGAAAGAATCCATCGCATATTCTCTGTTTTCAAAGGCAAGATTTTTTTAAAAATATTTGAGGGCTAAAAGCACTTATTTTCGCCTTTGTTGTGGTTGTTGTTGTTTTTTTTGGTTCAATGTCTTGATGGTTGTTCTCTTTTAATTCTTAATTCATATGTTGGTTGTTGTTATTTATTTTGTAGTTAACTTTACAGGAGCACTGCAGCAAATACATGTCGATTATAATGCTAATAATGTGACGGTTCGTGGTAAGTACTCCTGTCTTTAATTTATGACACCAGGAAATTGTGATTAACTCCATCGACACCCTCTTTGTAACATGGATGCAAACTGGGTGGCTCTCCTCTGTCTAATAATAAGTAATAAATGTTATTAGACATTAGAATTACTAAAAAAAAAGTCTGATTGGTCGATAGCATTCAATCAATACACAATAGCGTGTGAAGCTGACATGATAAATCATGTATTTACACGATTTATCATGTACATGTCTGCCTAGTTTCCAAGCCTCCCGTCTGTGTAGTGGTTTCCAGCTCTGTAAACTTAGAGAGAAGTGTCTTCGTCAGCACATTGTTTAAAAAATGCATAATAAAACAATTGTTTAATTCGATTTTCGCAAGATATATAGAGAATAATACATGGGCGCGCGTATATATGAACTCGATAGCTCACGAGTGAGCGCAGCGAACTAGCGAGATGTCGAGTTGTGGACAATCTTAGTATTAAATCTTGTTATCCAACTGCTCTATTTTATGTCATTTCTTATTAGGCGGGATAGAAAAGCGTGGCACTTGCAGCCAACCAGCTAAACATACGTTTAACATATATTTTATTTTTACAGAATTTTTACTGCGAGATAGGAGCCCAACTGCAATGACTCCAACGGTGTCCCTGCCACATGTGTCACATACACATACAAAAGATCACGTCACCACCGAGGAGAATAAGCTCAGTGAACAGCCTAAGAGTAACGGTACAGTGAAAAACCACATTAGTCGGCCCAGTAAGTTTACTGCCCGTTGGAATACTTATTTCTATTAAAGATTCCTCATTGAAAAACGGCTTGTACTGTTACCCTGAAGTTTTAAGCAAGTGCATTCCGCGGCTTTCTTAAAAAGCAAAAGGTACTTTTTACTTAAGGAAAGGATACGAAAACAGAAGTTTTATTCTGAGAGAATAAAAATGAGACTCGGGAGGCATCACTTAGATTTTAGCAAGAGAAATCTGGGAAGAGTACGAGTATGAAAATAAACTTTGCCGCAGGAGAAGGGGCAGTGAGGACCGACTACAAAAGTGAGGAGTCAAGCAAACCTGAATATTTTGTGCTCTAAATAAGTGATTTTGTTTGGAGTTACAAAGTTATAAATATGGAATGATGTACGGGCGCGCAGAGATATAGGGTTGAACACGGGGAGAGAAATTCCATTTCTACGAGCAACCATGTATTATTTTGTTTATTATATAAACACAATATGCCTTTACTGAGAAGAAAAGTCTACCTTATTCATGAATGTAAAAATAGGATGCACAATCCGCGAAAAAAAGTCGATAGGATCAGTGATGTTAGGGAACGTAAAAGCAACGATATTCTGAAAATATCATTGTCTAATTTATTCAACTTTCTTATCTGGCCCAGCTTTAGCTTACAACGGAAAAGAAAAGGCTGTACAGAGTGGATGGCGTATACCTGTTCTGGCAATCTCCACTGGCTGTTTATACCGCTTGTTATTGATAGGGGTATCATGGTACAAGAGTACATGGGAAAATAAAATTTAATTTACCAAGAGGACAATGATTCATTGATACGCGTCGTTTGTTTAATCCTTGAATGAAACTTTGAGCCATTTCCACATTTCAAATAATGCCCTTTCGTTCCACTACAACTCACAATTGAAGTACTAGTCTAATTGAACCTCTCTAAATATGACGGACATGCTTTCTCGGTCCCTTTTTATAGCGGAGATCGCAACATTTTGACTGCACGACGCGTGATCGAGGAATAAGGCTTGCTTGTGAATTCTTCGCCTAAGTAATTTTGAATTATGAAGAAGACCCACATAAAAAACGAATCTCTCTATGTTCGAGATATGCTTCTGATTATGTGGTAGACATTCAATTATATCGCTGTATTTTAGCTTATTTTCAGCTGAAATTTCAGCGTTTCACATGAGTGGTGTTCTCCTGGAAGAGACGGTTTCCACTACTTCTTGTTCTAGTGTAAATCAGGTATAGATTGGGCCATTTTCGCTCTTACTGGGGAGCATAGAGCGTCAACTATGGATCTCCGCTGGACGTTGTTTTTCGCTGTTCTTTTTTGCTTCTCGTAGGCTGGTGTTATCCTTGTCGAGCTCATCATGGACATTGCGCTACCAAGACTGATTTGTAGACTCACGTTGTTATTCCTCCTTATGTTACCTGAAATTTTTTTGCTTCTGTATTACTTTCTACTGTAATTTTCACCAATTTTTTTCTTGGTTACTCTCTGTTACACTCTTGGTTACTTTCTGAATTACTCTCTATAGTCATACAGACCTACTCGATCTCGGTAGTCTAGCAGATGCGGAAAGAATCTCCCGGTCAGTTGTAGTAATCTCTGCACTATTCAAGGGAAAGGCGTCGATGTGAGGAATTCAAGTAGCACGGTTTATCCGCCATTATCCGATAAGATTTCATTAGTCTACTTTTTTGCCTGGGATTCTAGATCGAGTTCTGAACTACAGTCATATATCATTTTACGAATCGCACCTATCCGTGCACATTGGAACGAGCGTCATTCCTGCTTTCAGGGGTATTAAGCAAGAGTTTCGGTCCAAGATGCGATCGCGCCAAATGTTGGACGCCTGAAAGAGTCCTCCTGCCAACATTGCAGCATCAGGTCATATCTAAAACGGAAGAAAGGCATAAACATCAAACGATAAAACGTACAATGACAACAACAACAACAACAGGAACAAAATAAAACAATCACACGGACTAATTGAGATACTTTCAAACTGCATCTGTTCGCCGGTTTTAGTCCATTAACCTCTAAGAGTGACTGGCTTCCAATGTCTCCTTACAATATCAGCCTTAAATCAGCTATGAAGGTCATCAGAATAAAGCAAATGATCACCAATTTAAGAATCTCCTAAGTTTTCAACAAATTCTATTTCTCAGTATAATAGGAATAATATGTACAATAGGAATAATATAGAGAGCAGCGTGGAATATATGTAATAGTTATGTTATAGGGTGTAAAGACTTAGGTCAACCATTGCACAATATATATGAAATTAAAAATAGAAACTTCATTTGAATGGTGGTTCATAACCAAGTTCCCTTTCAACAGCTATAAGCCCTCTTAAATTTTCTCTACTTGTCACTAAATGTGAACTACGATATTCCCGTTAGAAGTTTACCTCAATTTATGTTTTAGTGAGTTACGCCCTATAATCTTGAGGCGATGGGTAAACTTTGCAGCACCCGAGTCCTCGCTGCGCGCAGTAGATAAATGCAGATTAAGAAAGAGAGCGCTGTGTTGGTCTACTTACAATTCTGGGCTGACTTTTGAGGTCCTTCGTAACCTGTGACCATTTGCAACGTACTGGAGGACTTCTTCTCCCGACATTCCCTCATAAGGGTTTCCACCTGCGATCGTTACATATAGGACTATTCTAAAAAGACTAGTAATAATGGGTAGGATGTATGTATAAAGTAGAATGTATCATAACAAGAGAGGATAAAGGTATGGTCTCTTTAAGGACCTGCTACTGATTTATCGCCTGTTCTCACTTACCGAGTGTAAAAATCTCGTACAGAACAATACCGTAACTCCACCTGGAGCAGAAACGACAGAAGCCAGTGGGTTAAATTACGAATAAAGTTGTACTTATGACTGCATGTCATGATATAATTCTCTAGGAGCAAAACAACCAGGCTCCTTTGCGAAACAATATAATCAAATGTCGATAAAGTGAGTTTGTCAAGTCTAGTTGTGAAAACAAGAATAAAAAATCAGAGGGCTAATTATCACTAGGTGCGGTAGAAGTAGAAGGTCATACAGTAAGGTAAGGTAAATAACATTTTGGTGTTGGGAAGTTCATTCTACAACTACACATCTTCTACATCAACTTACACGTCACTTTTTATGGTAAAAACTTGTTTTGTCAAGGATTCAACTGCCATCCACTTTACCGGCACAACTCCCTGTAGAGTTGCAAAGATGTACGTTAAGTCGTGCGACAATACGGTGGTTTCTTTTTTTATCATTCTGCTAAAGCCTGTGGTAGGCTTAGGATAGAAACGAGCGGGCTCTGATGGAAACGAAATTTAGAGTAAGGCAATCACTGATCATGCGTACTTACATTAGACCTCCTGACATATATTTCACCTCTTCCCAGGTCTCTCGCCATTCCAAAATCAGTGATTTTACAGCGTAGACCCTCTCCAACTAAAACGTTTCTCGCTGCTAAGTCTCGATGAATGAGCTGAAAAAGTACGAGCTAAATGACTTAGTATTAAAACTTAGGAAAGCGTAGGAAACTTAGCGTAGGAAAGTGAATCGGAAACTGCCTTGATTTTTCTCAGATAAAGTTTTTCGATTATCAAAAAGAGACCAAATCATGTCCTCAACGAGTAAGATGCAAAGGTACAACTTACCGTACGCATCCTGCTAACTACGCTCAGGGACCACTCATGATCTACCTCCTGGGAGGAGGGGTGGAGGGTTTAAGGAGGAGACACATAGTTTTCAGGGGTGCCAATAAGGAGTGAGGGTCATAATGATATTATAGAGCCTTATGGGGGGATCAGGTAAATGGTAAATTTTGTTGTTATACCACAACAGGAATCCTTCGGGCCACCCCCCTCCTCCCCGGCGATAAAAAAATAACTACTGGTCCATTAAGAGTGCTCCAATCATTTTCCTCTATATAATTAGTGCCCTTGCGAATACATACCAAATAAGCAAAAAAAGATCATTACGCCATTAAGTTTTTGCTTTCGTAATCAACACACGCGAGATAGAGAGTATACAATTGTATATCTGTATCTGTTAAAACGTATACCTGATGAGCTGAAATGAATTCCATTCCTCGCGCGATATCAGACGCGAATTTGTAAAGTTGTTGTATGGATATTTTTCTTGGAATTTCTTTCCTTTTCAAATCATAATAATCATCTGTCTCCCCTCTACTTCTTTTCAAAAACCCAAGAAGATCTCCGTGAGGGACAAACTCCAGAATAACAAGGGGTGGTTCTGTAATAAAACAATGACATTTTAGGTTTTCCAAAGCCAGTAGTTGTAAGAAGTCAGTGCCGTAAAATTAACCTCTTACTTACCGGACGTGAGGGCCGTACTGGGGAATACTGGCCCAAGGTTGTGGCAGTACAAACAAATCGCAGCGACGTCTGTGCAAAAACGACCGAGGGCCAAAACACCCCAGCTTGGCTTGAACAAGTGCGGTTAGTCAGTAGTTTATTATATAGGACTCGCACCAAACCTGTCTATTTTGAATTTGCCAGCTTTCACCACCAGATTTGCGCAGCTTTTGATCATTTCTTTGGAAACGGTCCGTATGGAAAAACATGCACTAAGTAAGAACCAATCAGGACGCTTGGATTTACCTCAGGACTACCTCGATGATCACAATACCCGGTATTACACCGTCCCTGTCAAAAGTGTAATTCGTGATGATTAGTCAATAGTTTTTATCAATACTGATCACGGAAACTTACTGAACGTGCGCCTTCCTTCACATCGAATAACATCCTTAGTTAAACAGCCCAAAAGTTGAATCACATTAGGATGAGGTTTCAGTTTCTTCAGCAAGTCCAGCTCAGACAACAAATCCGTCAGGTCTGACTTTGAGAAGTTTTCTGCAAAAGAGTGCTAGTTATTATTAATTACACTGATCGCAATTGCTGTAACGGTCTTGCTTTAGCTCTCCGTGCAGACCTCAGTTATTAGAATTATCGACCGCGATGATTCAGGCCCAAATCATTAATAAAATCGACCTTTGAATTCCCCTTGTCCCATGCCAGTGACAAATGTTACTCATTTTGAAAATAATGAAGCGCATCATACGCACCCTTCAGCATTTTAACAGCGACAAAAGACCAGCCTTGAGTACCACAAACATCCAGTCCTCTACCCTTCCACACTTCACCAAATGTGCCACCGCCAATTCGCTCAATCAGTGATAAATGATCACTTGGAACTTCCCATTTTTTGTTGCTGAACACGAGGGTATATGGTGACTCCACCTGAACTGCTGTTAGCAGCTGAGATGAATTTTGATATGCTGCGTTCTTACAAAGGGCTTTTGGCAAGCTTGCATTTAGATAGGACGTTTTTCCGCGGAAAGTTTGAGGAGTGGAGCCGTCAATATCTATTTGATCTGATACTTTGGCGCGTGCGCAGTGTTCAACTCCTGCTTCATCACACAAAGGGTTGCTTCGCAGACATTCCACAGGTAATGTTCCTGGTGCTTTTCTATTGAATTTTTTCCTTGGCTTAGGCCGGGGGCGTGTTGAGCACACCATCTGGGTCTCTCCGTGGCTGAATCTGCCACTCTCTGTGTTTTCAAAACCGGCTGAAGGTTGAAGGTTATGTTCAGAAAGACAAGTTCTTGCAGTTGAGCTATTACTCCTTTCACATTCCTCGGAAGAATTAAATGTTTTAGGCCCTGTTGGTAACTCGTATGGTTTAGTTTCAAGAGCTGTAGGGTTCATTTCAGGTTTAAATGTTGCCAACAACAAACATTGCGATGCTCTTGGCTTCTTGTAGATGCTTTCTGTGTTTCGTATCGATGTCTCTCGTTGTTCTGCCATGAACGAAGTATCTTCTATACCAAAATGTGTTTCTGATGGTAAAACGGAAGTTCTTTCTTCGACAGTACCTTGGGCCTATAAATTTGGAACATTCGTCACTAGTACTAGTCGAAAGAGTTAAACCAAAGGAAAAGACGAGCATATCACAGAGTTTTTAAGCAAATTAAAAGACAGTACAAATAATAGTAAAGTTCGTAACGCGTGCAGCCAAACCCCATTCTCATACAATATGGTAGTATTTTATTAACAGATCACTGCTCTAAATGAAACATACCTTACTCCTCTCTAATGAAATATCTCTTACCGCTTCAGACGAGAGATCCATTTCTGGTGTAAATGAATAAGCTGTTATTCTAGAAGAAAATTGAGCAGCATTACTTGCTTTAACTCACAAAATAATCAACAGCGTTGCTAATTCATCTAAGTGATGAACGGAGGAGTGAAAGCTTTCTTTAAAATTATTTGCATTGGAATTGCCTGTTCTATCAATCAGCCACACACTTAATTACGTTCTTGAGTGGTCACATCGACTGGCCGCCCCTGGGTCTCGAGGTTGGAGTGGCCTCAATCCAGTTTATGAATGACACTCACCTTCTCCTGTCTTGGTGTCCTGTGGAAGGGAGAGATTTTGATAGAAAGAGACTATTACTCCTCAATCATCGTCAGCAAACTCTATTAACCCACTAAATGTACTATCTCATCAGTTAAAGCTGTCAGAATTCCCCTTTTCTGTTTTCTTGCGTGGTTATAGCTGAATAAACTTTTCTTATCGTGTTTTAACAATTTGCCAGCTTCTTCTTTAAACTCTTTAAAATGAGTGTTAAATTTGATCCCCAACTTTTGGTTGTTAGCGCACTCACTATACCTTTTCTTTTTCACCAAGAAATATTTCATGTACTTACTCTCAGGATTTTCCTTCGTGGGCTTGTATTTTATTCGCAAGAAACAACCAAATCCAGTAAAGATGATTACACTGACACTGAGTGCTATTATAATAGCGACCAAGGATCCATCGATCAACACTTCTGTTTTCCGTGAGAATGTCCCTTCCACAACAAAGACAGATGGTTTTACTGATCCTTCAATCTCTGTTGTAAAATCATAAAAAAAAAATAAATTTGGGTCGGTTCATGTTTTTCACGGTAGGAGCCTTTTACTAGAAGGATGGCATGACGAAACTAGGGTAGATGCAAATGCATAGTTTTTTGATCATCTTTGATTCAGTTGTCAAACGTGTAGATTGATTTAATCAATCTTGAGAGTAACTGGTAATTGGATAACCAGTGTATCTGCCTGCAAATAAAATTTAAGCGGCAGAACTGCCAGATCGGGAAGCAGAGCTTCGGCTTGCCACTTCTTCCGCGGTTACGCTTACAAAACATCCAGGTACACAGGCGGGTGGTTTTGCCATGTCAACTCCGTTTTGATGATGGCCCCTCCGTATCCAACGAATTGGATAAAACAAATCTCACATAGAAGCAAAACCTTTGATGGGTCGGCAGTCTATCTCGGAATTGGAGAGACTCCAGGTGTATTCGTGAGAGAGATTTAGAGCGCAGATACGTTAAATATTTCACCCCGCGTAAGGTAAAGTTTAATCACTTCTGACTAGAGTTCAAAGGTTTCTGCGAAATACGATGATTCTTTACCTGAGTGAGTGTGGAAAGCCGTCTGATCAATTTTTGTTGTGGTTCCATATGTTGGTTCACTTTCTGCTACTGACGTAATGAAAAAATAGGAGCCTGAAAAGTTTATTTCATTGATATAGAAGAGTTCCGTTTGAGATTCCAACCATTCACCCAAGTCCCAAATTTCAGGTCTATTGCCTCCTGTTTATGAAAATAATACTAAAAACAAAAGAGGTACGATTTCGCTGAAACTAGACGTGAAAAATTAGATATCAAGAGAATATTTTTTAATAGGGTGAAATAACCAAAGTAACTTGTATGTTTTCATCCTACCTCTAAGGTAAACACTCTTTCTGTCTTCTCCTTCGTGGTTTTCAGCGATACATGTATACTCGCCAAAGTCCTCGGACGTGATGTTGCGGGTGACTACCGCCTCAGAAATGCCACTAGCCAAAACTGTTTGTTCCCTATACCACGCGACTTTAACAGGAGCCATACTTTTGCTTGCTATACAGTTAAGGCTTACAGACTGTCCTATCCTGAGCGGGCGTGGAGATGTGACGAACTTGATTAATGGAATATCTGCGGCGTTCAAATAAAGAATGGCTAGTGTCACCGACGAGAACAAACGACAAAAATAGCAACAGAAGCAAAACAAACAATGTAGGCAATAGATAATAACTAACGAGTGTTTTCATTTCATGCAGCGTAAGACGAACTCCCTCCATCCTAAATTTAGATCCAGTTTGAACGGGAAAATTTACGAGAAAAGCGGAACATGAAGCTTCGATGCATCCTGTCATCATTATCAAATGTGAGAGATTAACCAAAGTTATGTATACACATATATACAGGAAGAAAATGAATCGTTCAGCGTTCCATGACAATTGCTGCAATCTAATTGGCTACACTACTTGCCATCTATTCCATGATAGACGGTGACTGTTCGGAACAGTGAGTAGCTTGGCAGGATGTTGTTGTAAATAACAAATAGAATAATGGAATAAAAACATGAGCCTGTCATGTTTTCCATATTGCGAAGTTTTGAAAAAGCAGTAGCTTTGCACCAGAAACGTAAGCGATTATCGTGTGATAAATGATGATTCGTGCTTCGCCCTCGGTAATCATTGCAAAATCTGCGCAGACCATGCGACCCTTACATTTTGTTTCCACCTGAAGCTTCAATGTATCGATGAGTGGATAGTGTAAGTCAAACTCCACATGTATCCCATAATACTTGTCCCCATCCTCAGGTCGCACATTGTGAAGAACAAACACAGCCACCGAGGATGTTACGTTCACTTTCCAACTTAATCGCGACTTGTACTCCTCTCTCACTTCAACAGCGCCACTACCGTTGACGGCAACGAGACTCTGGTCGGCCGCTGAAACAGGATTCGTCCAAATTCCAAAGAAAACTTCAACAAGCTTCATATGTCTCGGATGATGATAGCGCCATTCTAGAGAAACATTCTCACCCTTGTAGACTATTGTTGGGTTGCTGGGTTTCAAAGTAAATCTCTGTTTTTTATCTGTTAAAGATTAAGGAGAAGTTGCAAATAAACTAAAATTTCCAGCAAATAGCTCTAACTGAAGATTTCTGCTTGCTTACTCGTGTTTTATCAACTGACTATTCAAGGTAAGAAAGTTTATTTTCCTCATCGGTGACCATGCAAAGAAATTTCTCCACGTTTATCTCTTGGAAATTGCTGCAAAAATGGTGTTATCTAACCAACATGTCTACTCTTCACTTTTTCTAAATTGCTAAAATAATTCACTCCACACCATTTTTCCCATTCGGATATTGTATGCATCGAGATGCTGCTCTTCCTCTATGTTAACGCCAGGTCACATAACATCAGGAGTAGACGGGTGTGTGTCATGTTTTAGAATGGGGACAAAGGACTTAAACTCTTCCATGAAAACCATGGTCTAAGAAACGGCCATCATGTTCAAGGACCTGAAGGAAGTTCCAAAATATTTCAAGAAGGGAAACCATGAATGTGAATTGGTTGCTATGGTTTCTATATGAGCTTAGGACTTTTATATTATCTGAAACGCCTAATCATGTTTTGTTCGATTTAAGATAAGAACATGGTAACTATCATGATCGGAACACTTCAGAAAGCTTATGGTAGAAAATTAGAGAATAAAACAGAAACGGAAGCCTCACCAAATGAGAGAGTAAGTTAATAAGGGAATTTAATTTAAGTGAAAAGTAGCATTCCCAGCCATGAATAGCAACTAGTTCAAAGAGAAAAAAAAACTACGATAAGTAACTATGATCTGTGAAAAACTCGAAATACCCTAATCGGGGGACATGCTTGTTTCATATCTGTTATCATCTTAAAGGTGGTGTCTCTTACTTGTTTCCTTCACTTGAAGCTTTAGTGTATCGATGAGTGGATAAGTCAAACTCCACATGTATCCCATAATACGTGTTCCCATCCTCAGGTCGCACATTGTGAAGAACAAATACAGCCGATGAAGACGTCATGTTTCCTTTCCAACTTAATCGTGACTTATACTCCTTTCTGAACTGAACAAAGCCACTGCTATTGACTACAATAAGTTTTGAGCTTGCGGCTGAAACGGGATTCGTCCAAATACCGAAGAAAACCTCAATAAGTTTAAAACCTGTACTTGGATAGTAATACCGCCACTCAAGAGTAACATTATCGCCTTTGTAGACGATCGTGGGGTCATCAGGTTTTAATGTCAATTTTTGTGACTGTTTCCCTGCAGGAGAAAGATTACTGTCAGTCAAGATAGTTAAAGACGACTACCCCGTGAATTTCTCTCATTTTTCACCGTTATTAAATGCCACAAGTTCTCTTGCCTTGGGAATGAGTTTGACTATGAACTTCGTCCTACATGTTTCTTGGAGGACAACATTGAGTATCTCTTCGAAAGCGAAAGCGGAAAAGTAGCCTAACTTCAACGATATTATAACATTGCTATACTTTTAACGCGATTTTTTAAGTTTTTACTAGGCCTCTACTGTACATGGACGATCAAAGGAACAATAACTCATTACAAACCTGACGTTTTGTTGAAATGAAGTTGCAATTCAGTAACTTTTAAAACTACCTTCCGCGTAAGCGTCCCAGTTTCATAAGTAAATCTCTACTCCATTAACGTTTCCATCTTCGAACACTATTTTAACAGAAAACGGGATTCGCGAGTAAAATCGAATGCCATTAAGATACAGACAGCTGAAAAGATCGAAATCATTGCGAGAATGAAGAAATGGGAACTCATTACTCTTAATGAGTTCAAGGGTGCTCTCGATACTCTTGATGCTTTTCAACGATTGAATACAAAATTATGAATTAGGCTTTTGCATGATTAATTGCAATGAAAGGGCATGTTGTAACCATTTATTAAGTAAAATAAAGATAAACGTGCGCAGGCGCAAAATCTGGGATACTAGCGCATACCCCTGATCTTTGTGGCCACAATATTTACTAGCATTGTATCAGGAGCTAGTTTATAAGTAATTCTGCTATCAGATTTCTTGTAAACTGAAACACTTATGATAATGGCTCACTTTCCAAATTATCATTGATGAGGTGGAAAAGTTGCAGATATTTGTATAACATGGTTTTTGAATAGTATTAGGAAAGGACAACCATAGTAACAAACGTAAGCCTTCAGTAATTAGGAATCATATTTTTGTTCAGCCTTACAAACTAACTCCATAAACTGTCAATAAAAGAATTAATGTGCTTGTTTTGGCGAGTTTTAAACGAAGTTATCTTACCAGAACTTCCCATCCTCTTCGTTGCAAGCAAGAAGGACGCCAGCCAAACAAAATTCGACCGACATATCATTTTCATTAATGGCGACACTTCACCAACTCCCTCGGCGACTTTCTGTGTGTTAGAGAGACACAAATTACGCAAAGATTCAAGCCTGACTAATATCAAAAAACTGCGCAGCGTTTCAGACACGCAGCAGGCGAATACACTTGAAAGGGAAAGCGGAATACAACACGAATAAACTGTAAAACAATTATAAGCTTTTCTCGGAAATCCAGAAATAGAAAATTACCGACTTTTTAGTCTCTTAAGGAAGACAGACGATAGAATTTACATGATCGATTCTTACGAAAGCGAAAGGTTATAACCTCTTCTCTCACAACATTGTTAATTGTTCAAACTATGGGGTGACAATCTTGGCATGTACCCAAGTTATATCTATCATATACTCTGTTCATAGAAAAGATATCAAATGTTAACCTAACCCTATACAGTGTGAGAGCTAAATTGATTACAGTATTCAAACATGAAAGATTTCATGAGAAATACCTCCTTCATTCCTCTCCTTTTATCAAGTTACGAGCGACTTATCTTCATAATCGACAAAGTTTCTATTGAGAGAGGCGTGAGACGTTTATTTATTATCTGACTTTCTTTCTTTCCAAATAAGTCTAATCCAATTAAGAAACTCCAGTTTCAAGTATACTCATGAGAATTTCAATTTACTAGAATATACTAGGCAAATATGGTTTAGAGGTACGAGCCTCTGATTATATCAGTGAATGAGAATTTTTCCAACGAGCAGCTGAATCCCAAAACAGTTATGTTCCGAAAATCAGTTTTTATAAACATACCAACATGATTAAACGAGGAAATATCTTTGCTTCAACTGACTTCAAACAGGCTAGTAGCAGCCTTTTTCAACACAGGTACTGCAGATACAAGATAGGACTAAGTGGATAAACATCGTGTTCGCGAAAGATAGGTAAAACATCGAGTTATTAAGTGAACGAAAGAACCATCCAGAGAGACGAAGAAATTATCATGAAAATAAAGAGCTTTGAAGATACAGCAAGTCGAGTTCGCGTTTAATAACGGTTGTGTTCTCGAAAATGAAAATACTGAGCATACTGTCACCTATCAGACGTGAAGGAGATTAATTTTATTTCCAATGCACAATGCTCCAAGAAATGGTAGAGCATCGGAGCGCGGAATCCGAAGGTCTGAGGTTCGATTCCTCATGGGGACTCAGAATTTTTTCTTTGTCACACGCTCGTGACAAGGCGAAAAACATCTTCTCTATTTCTTTAATGAGCTCAAAACTTAAAATCTCTCTTATCCTATTTAGAATCAGTTGATATTTCGAATTGATCGAAACAAGGGAAAACATTGCAACAAAGGCCCCTCGATCCACGTTGCTTTACCGCTGTTTACGTCTTCCTGCCGCACGGGAACTCTTGACAATGATAATGATTTCTAGGTATTATTTGTTACAGCTCGCACTTTCCTTAGGCCCTCTGGCTGCTTACGTCTTCCTTATGTGACTAATAAAACGGAATTTATTTACATTAATTAATTTCAAATAAGTCACTTAAGGGTTTGTTAGAGATAAACTGCCCAAAATTTGAACATCGGGCACACAGTGAACTATCAAGTTGAAATGTTTTTTATAGCTTCCGGCAAAAAGTTTAGACAATGCAAGGGTCACCATGTGACATAAATATTTCCGGTTATTCTGAGAAAAGCATTCAGTGATCAAAATAAAGGAGTAATTTATAATCCACTTAAATCTGGCTAATTACCAGCTTTGTCAATCTCAAGGTGTTCCGAGGTCCATCGATAGGCCGTTAGTCCATCGGAAGACTTAACGTAGAAATAAAATTTGAAATGCCTGCGAAAATTGAGCTTGGCGCCTGGCTTCCGCTGCAAGAATCAGTGTTTCGTGAGGGAAACATATTTAACTATTTCGCTCAAGGCGTTTTGCTGGTGGTTTTCTGTCTCTTAAAGCAACAGCTGGATAGACTGGCGTCTTCCTTTCTTTTAAAACACAGCGAGAAGAAACGTCATTTTTCCAATTATAAAGCCACAATGTAGAACAGTTTCTTAGAAAAAGAAATCACGCAACGAAATTTTGATGTCACAATATTGCGAAAAATCGTACTGCGATGCCTCCGTTTAGAAATAAACGTGTGGCTTTCCTGTAGCAGGCTTTTTTTTAGCAATTTTAAGTTCATTTCTTACGCTACTAGGGCCTTATCCTGTTTACGGGAATTTTACATGCAATTTCCGCTAGGCTTGCCGGTTAGTTATAGAGCCATGTGATTCGCTAAGAAATTCAAATGTCCTCTGGTAAAGTTCAATTTCTCAGAAACATAACATAACATAAACATAATCATATCACGAAACATCAGATAGACAGTCAGAGTTTGGACCTACTTTTCTTTTAAGTCTGAAGGTCCTTTTCTCCGAGTCCCAACCATGAAAAACAACTGTATTGGCATCGCAACTAAGAAAATCCGAGATCCCAATTAAGCGGCGAATCGACCCTCCGTGTCGAACGAAAAAACAAAGGCGACGATGATTTCAGCTACTCTCATCATGTCTCTGTGGCTCCCAGGTAGGTTTAAGAACACAGTGTTGACATTGTCAACAATCAAACGATTCCTTCATTCTTTTCTTTTTTTTCATCGCGACCTTCTACTACAATGCAACTTGTCCTTCCATTTAAATGAAGCCGACGAACTGCTAAACGCACAAACCCGGAAGTGCCTCTTTGTCAAAACCATAACCTTGGAAATTAAGTCCAAACCGTAATTATATATATTTGTAGCCTAATTTTAAAACCAGAAACAAGATTTAAAGCAATTGATACTTAACACACACAAAAAATAAGTTTTTTCGTTCTAGATTAACTGCTTAAGGTGAAAATGAAAGTAATCATCAATAGGAGAGAATTTAATATTTGGTGTACGGAAGATATTTAAGACTTACTAGATTTAACTAAGTCTAAATTAGAATGAAAAAATTTCGAATTTCCAAACCTGAAAGCAAGGATTTTGTGACCTAACAGAGAAATTTGAAAAACAGGATCGGCAAACGGTTGGTTTAAAGAAAGAGATGACCACGGACTATATTTTGAAGCGATTGGAGACTGCTTGTGGCAGGCCTTTCATAAATAATTAAATGACCATATGTTTCCGGCGAAATTTTGCGATGTAGTCGCTGCCGGTTTATTCTGTGAAAATATTCAAAACCTAAATAACGACATCTGAACAACGATTTTTGATAAATATTCAGGTGATTTATTTCCGAGAAAGAACAAGACAAAGGCCCCTTCCTTCTAAGAAAGGCCATTGTTTCAGTTTAGTCTGTGCATAAATTAATCGACATCGTTTACACGAGCGAAAAATCTGGAATCCCGGAATTATGGGAATGGAATACGCGGAAACTACAAATCCTTAACACGCACCCAGAGACCATTTGCATTTTATCCGTTTACTTTTCAAACTGGTACATTATTAGCTTTGTAAATAGCTTGAAGAGCAATTCCGTTACAGGGAAAAAGTACGGAAAGAGTTCTTTGGTCTTTGGTCAACTGAGGGAAGTTTGACAACTTAGCTTACGAGATCGCTTCGTATTCTGCATTTATGCAACAATATACATTCTATTGTTTTTCTTTTTCATTTCTTTCCACGATTTAACAGTATTTTGCCAAGGGTATCCTAAGATTGTTTCTGGACCAAGTAATCCCCTGATTGCCCGTAGCGAAGACAAAGTTGCGCTTAATTGGACGCTTGGGTTGCCTCCCTCAGAGACCTGGAATAGTAGCATATTTGAGGTGGTTTTTGGAATCTGGAAAGATCCAGGATTCCTGAAAACAAAACTCTTGGTCATCGATAGACATGGTGAGGTACTAATAAGACCAAACTACGAAAAGAAAATTAGCTACGACTTCAACATGTCCAAGCTTCAAGTTGCATTCATACTCCATGATTTAACCATGAAGGATGAGAATCACTATTGTCTTCAGGTTGAGCTTGGCCTTCATCAGCCTCCTTTGACGGATCCTGTGATGCTTCTTCTTGAGGGTAATATATTTGTTACATTTCATTTGTGGAGGAATGCCACAGACCCGGAAGCGGGGGTACTCAGGCAAATATGTTCTGAGCATGTGCCCCTGGCCACTTGGAGCCCCTTGCCCTTAGTCATTCAGGGACAATTATGGACCCCATCTTAGCCACTCTTAAGTATTTGTGATAGCTTTCCTTCTTTGACATTCACTTCTGATTGAGAGAAACCTTACTCTCAAATATCTCAACAGATTCTCCTAAGATAACCAGTCCCAAACAGGAAAACTTTTCAGTGAACATTGGGGACAACTTGCGAATAAACAGCCAAGCAAAGGGTCTTCCTACACCAACCATAACATGGACGAAACAGGGGAGAATTGTTGGTAATGATACATTGGTTCTTAATGGAGTAACGCCAAACGACAGCGGAGTCTACTTGTGCAGCGCTCACAACCAGGCTGGTGAAGATCATAAGGAGATTGTGGTTACGGTTTTGGAACATGATTATGGATCACAAAAGCTAACAGGTTTTAACAATTTGTTTGTCGAAATAAATACCCATGAACTAGATTGCTAATGCATATTCTTATGTTGGTGACTGAATTTTCATTTCCAGAGCGTTTCATTGGCGCGTTCTGTGTTAAACGATTTGAAAACAACAGACACTCCCTCACTAGAAACCGAATGGAATCATTACCTATTCAAGGAGTTAGTTAGTTGAAGTTGCTCAGAAATAATGACGACGATTATGATGATAATCATCCTTCCTGCTAAAGTGCTTTCTAACTTTTTTCCAGTTCTTCATATGCCAACACAGACATTACACGATAGAGGAAGTCCTATGTGGTTATTTCCAGTAGTCGTAGGTGTGTCAGTTTTTTTAATAGCTGCAGTAGTTGTCTTTCGCTCGCGTGGGCACCGCTGCAGAAGGAACCTCGCTTATGAGCAGCATATTGATGAAAAAACATCAGGTGAGCACTTCACAACTGCCAAGATCTAGCCTAGAGCCGATGAGGAGGCTGCGGATTAGTGACTGAACAGTATACCTTGATCATACTCTATCATGGAATGCATCATTAGCTGGTATACCGAAATAGTAGCAAAAGCAGCGATGCAATTTCTCCAATTTTTTTCTCTTTCTCAACCTCCTGCCGGTTTTTGCTCCTAAGCCTCTAAATTGTCTCCACTGACCCGATAGCTCTCGTAAGTTATAATTAAAACTTGCCTTATTGTAGTACACTGTGAGTGTGCTGTAAAATGATTGCTGAGGAAAAATAGAAAACTTTAAAACAGATCAACTCTTGTTATTGACGGGACAAAACTTTCTCATCGAGGAAATTAGAAATGAGTTGCTCTGACAAAAACCGAACAGTATACCTTGATCATACTCTGTCATGGAATGCATCATTAGCTGGTATACCGAAATCAGATCAATTCTTGTTATTGACGGGACAAAACTTTCTCATCGAACTTTGACAAAAACCTTCTACTAGTCTTTGAATAACGATCTAACGCACCCATTTGATGAGTGCATTGGTGCTCAAAATCCTTTGTTTTACAAAATTAGTTCGGAACACAACCCAATCACTGAAAAAATCCAAGAACTTGAAACTGAATAGTTTGTTACCGTAATTAGCATGGAAAGGCTTCGTAGGAGAGAACTTTTAAGAATGAAAACTTATAATCTGGCTTAATGTTGGTAAATAAAGCAAGAATACAATTTTCTGCGCTACATGTGTAGATATATATATGTTATTTGCCGGCTGGGAGGTCCGTATGGTGAAAAACTGTGACCGAGGTCACAGTTTTTCACCATATGGACCGACCCTTAGCCGGTAAATAACATATTTATTTTTTTGAAACTTGACGAAATTCTTTCCGAAAGAACCCGAATGATTTAGGGCTGTAAATACGGCAAGATCTTCCATAAACTTAACAGTTTTTGAGCGAGTAAATGGTAGTTAAAATAGAGATGATGCAAATTCAAGAGAGATGCCTTAGCGAAACATTTTCATTACCGTAACTATAATTTAAAAGGCTTCCAAACAAACTTTGAAACATTATTTTTACAAGTATCTGTCACAATCTGACATCTGTCAATTAGAGAGCGCGTAAGTAAAAAAAAGCGTAAGAACATTTGAAAAACAACGGAACTAGTTTGGCAAGGACTTTCACGACGATGTTTTCTTCAAAAACAGTCAATGATCTAACGGAAAGTATTATTCACTCTCATCGACGATTCATTCATGTGCGAAGATTTACCTCTGTTTATTAAGTAAACGGCGAGGAAAGTAATTGTGAGTAAATTAATTTTTTTTATTTTGAAGTTGTGAGAGTTTGCTCGTTTGTTTGCTGCAATGGCGTGTGTAAATCTGGTCTTTCCTTCACAAAAACTAAATTCGAATGGCGCACTCCAACGAGACACAAGGGGATTTAATACGGTCTTTTCTCAAAAAATTCCTTCAGTTTCTGTTGTGCAATTTACGGTACAAATGTTCAAATAGAACGGACTTGGAAAGACTCACCGAGAGCGTATATTTGTTGTAGAACTTAACTTAAAACTTCGCTCGCTCTTTCATTGCGAACAAATTGCTTGAGAAAATTCAGGTATTAAATGAATGAAAGTTGCATCGTTCAGTTTAACTGTAACCAAATACTTCACGTTTTAACTTTCTAGGTACTTTTTGTGAACGATTAAAATTAATTACAGACGGGTTTTAGGCCGCTTGTCAACCAACGTAATGACACTATTGTTTATACAAATTCATTCTGAAACCAATATTTTTCTGTCAACCAAAGTGATTTGAGTGAGAGAAAAGAGAGGATTCATAGGTTATTCATCGGCTTGAGGTAGTGACCGACGTGTTTGCTTAAAAACATTACCCAGCCGGAAAAACGAGATACGTTTATGAAAAATGGCAACGAAAGTTAGGATGTACTTGGCGACTCACGAAAGCGTTACCGTGGCCCGTGGGCAGAGATAGGAAAATACTGACCGGGTAAGGAACCAATCAAATTGCAAGATTCGTTACCGTGCCCTCTAAAAAAAAATAAATAGAGAATAATACATGGGCGCGCATAGATATGGAATTTCTCTTCGGGTGTGTAATTTGATAGCTAACGAGTGAGCGCAGCGAACGAGTGAGATGTCGAGTTGAACACGAGAAGAGAAATTCCATATCTACAAGCAACCACGTATTATTTTGTCTAGCATAGAAACACAATAGCCCTTTACTGAGAAGAATAGCCGACTTCATTTTTGAATGATTATAAATGAATCGACAATCCCCGAATAACAATCGTAGAGATGGAAAAATGCGTTGAATCATGATTACAAAAACAACAATAGTCCTAATTTTCAATTTACAAAATTCTCATTTGTCCTTACCGATAGAAGAAGTCTTTCAGGTGAACGGCCAAAGTCGGCTAGTGGCAAATCTTTCAGCTGTCGATTTTCATTCTTAGCCGAGAGGCATGCTAACACCTAAGCCACTGAATACGTAACGTTCGGTTTTTCTTATAATATATTGATTTTCTTCCCCTTCTAGAAAAGTTTAAAACCTCACTGTCTGTCAGCGAAACGGATGTTTTAGCGTTTTAGCTGCCGTAATTCGAGAAAGCTCCGACAAAAAACTTGTATTGAGAATCGTGAACGTTTTCCCATTCATTCATCAATCTGACCGAGTGGCGCCAAAGGCGAGTGACGTGTCAGCAGTTGATTGTCTATATCAACACACGTGAAAAAATAAGATATTTTTACACGTGTGTTGTTACGGCTTTTCTCTGGGACGTAAATCCCTGTGTAACACCGCAGTTTATATGATAAATCTTTTATTTCAACAACAACACTTTAAAACAACACGTTTCCTTTGATCTAAGGGTTATAAAACAAGACATCATAAAATGCAAAACATTTGCCTTTTTAGCAAGGGCGATTGTACCAAACGGTCGACAATGAATCCTGAACAAAATTATCAAAGAAATTTAATCAAATGTAATGTGCCTTTTCAGTTCTTTTACAAATGTTTGTGAGTTCAATCCTGTCGTTTCAGTGAACCATCTCGAAAACGGAAAGTGCCTTAGAGCTTAAAGCATGCAGGGTGAATTACAATATGATTTGGCCCGACAACCAACCCTCGTAGAAATCTTCATTTTTATTAATAATCACTACTAAAATAAACTTTCATAAAGCTTGTTTTGCTTTTAGCTTTTGCTATGATACAGGATAGGAGTCGCATACGGTTCAGAAGAATGCGGAAGCATTTACCTGTTGGTGAGAGAATCATAAAAGTGTGCGAAGCCTTAACAAAAACACATCAAAATTCGTTGAAGAGACGCAAAAATAAATTTTAAGAACCTTTCTCTGTCTCCTTCTAAACCAAGCTCCTGTTGCTTAACCCTTTAACTCCCATGAGTGACTAAGACAGAATTTCTCCTTACAATATCAACACAAAATCAAGCAGAAAAATAAGGAGAATATAGAAGAAAACTCAATTAGGGGACTACGAGTTGATCCAATACCAAATTCTGCAAATTAAAATGATCAGTATTTTATGGCAGACAGTAGGAAGAATTACCAAGAGATCTTGGGATTTAAGGGGGTTAACAATCATAGGTTAGACAGGATGCTTTATGAGGAAAGACACTTCTCAGAATTTCATTGTTGACGCGTTACGCCATGAAGGCCTAACAGGCAGTCACAAAGAGGGCTGCCCTGCAGTCATAAAGGATTTCTATGGGAATGGGGATTGAAATCTGATGATCTAGTTTTTTTTTACAAAAATACTTTCTTATGGTTTATGCACTAGTTAATTTAAAGCTTTAACATCCACACCTTCCCCCCCCCCCTCTGTTCCATACTCCAAGGTTGGACATTTTTAACCTTACTTGGGGGGGGGGGGGGAATACGAAGCAGCAGAACACATGAGTTTTGATATTTAATATGGAAGGTAAAGGTAAAGAGTCAGCTTTTGTGAGAAAATGTTATTCAAGAAAGTTTATACATCATAGAATTATGCTAATAAGCAAAAAACACTCTGCTGCACCGAAAACTAAGAGGTGACTGCTAAATTCTTCCACAATCATAGATCACACAAAGAATCATCCAATTAAAGAAAATGTGCCTACCAGGGGCATTTTAACCCAATTTCCTTGGACAAATCCTCAAAAGCTCAAATTTCGCAGAGGCTGGTCCGAAGTGGAGTGGGAGGGGATAACCTCTTGGTCATTTTCAGCTCTTTAGAGGGATTTTTTGTGATGCAATGACCATGATACACATTGCAATCACATGAGGTGGAATCTCTTGTTTGCTTTTGTTAACAGTAAATCTGCAGTGTAAGTCTGTGCTAGGATCTTGCAGCCAATGTGGTGTCACAGCTTGACAATATCCTCTCGTCCCCAGTACACAATGATTCAAGACAAGTATTAATATGAATCTTCTTGGACAGGTCATTAATTCAAGAAAACCACCCCAGTGATTCAATAAGTTACCCTTTTAACTCCTAAGAGTAATTGGCACCTAAAATCAATGCTGAATCAAACATTGAGGTCATGATAATAAAGGGAATGATCTCCAACAAGAGAGGCTCATAGTAGATGAACAAATTCTTCATGTTAGCATCACAGAAATGTATACAGATCAGTATGGAGAATATGAATACCCATGATAGGGTGGAGAGGGTTAAGTTTGCCTGAGTGGGTGCTGGTATCCATTTATTTCCCTGGAGAGAGATACTAAGCTTATATATGCTAGAATGCTTCCAGAATCTTGGTTTGGAAGTACCGGTAGGTTGGATAGGTAAAGACTTGACATGAAATAATCTCCAGAGCATTGGACATTGAAATAATGAATCTTACAGCCTGTGCAGGCAAGTCCTTCACTGGATTATGAAAAACCACCCAGTGCCATCACCCCATCTCCCCCTAACCAGATTAATCTATTCAGATCTAGAATGGGCTAAAACATAATTCAAAATTATGCAAAATATGCAGATACAACTGCTTATTCTAATACCACAAACAACATATAAAAACATTTCTTACATCCTCACAACTTTAATAAAATCACCTTCTAATAATACTTCTCCTAATTGTTATAACACAGTAATATCTGTAGAATTTACATTAAAAAAAGCCATATTTACTTACATCAAACTTTAATATAAAAATATATCCTTATTGAAACTATATAACACAGCACTTGCATTCTCCATAAAAGCATAAACCTTATTCTGACTACACTCACACAAGACATTCAATGTGATAACTTTATCTAGGATGAGTCAGTCAGGGTTTTCATTTACTTTTGAAGTAGAGGGGCACTGCCTTGTGAGTGGGAAGGCACATGCATACTGTAAAATTGAGGGCCAAAGGCCCGAACCTCAAGGGGGGTCCGGGGGCATGGTCCTCCGGGAAGCTTTTAAAACTTAAGTCTCCCAGAAGCGCATTTTCCTGCAATCTGGTAAAGAAATCTTCCTGTAATGACGCATACTTAATCTAATTATAATAAAAAAGAATGGTACTCCGGGAGAATTTGTTTATTTCACTATACAGCTATAGCTACACCAAATCACTGCTGTTGTTCTCAGAGCTTCCTTTCTTATTACAGTTATAAGTTAACTTTAACTTATAAACTGATAAAGAGTGAAACTGACAACACTTTTTGTAGTTTAAGAAAACTCAAAGTCAGAGCCCTAATCATTTACGTTAATGCCTTTTGTCACCACGTACTATCCAGCAGTTGGAAATGTATACCAAATATTGATGGAACATTGGAGTCTGTTGCAGAATCGGCCCTTGCTGAAAAGAATTTTTACAAAACCTCCGATCATCTCTAACAGAAAGGGAAAATCCATTTAAGGCATGCTTGTGAGAGCAAAAGTAAAATTTGAAGGCGATAATGAAACGCCACCAAAAAAGTCACATAAGCTTTATCTTGAATTAAAATTAAATTGGAACCAAGTTTCTTTCAATTGCTCGGAATATTTACGCTTTGAGAGCCAACAAAATGTTGGCTCCCTGAGACGCATGAGTCAGCTGATAAGCATTTTTTATAGCGTCATTCATCTCCTGCTGTTTATTTTATTTTCTGAGTAATACAAAGTGTTTTATGAACAGTTTAAATAATGGAAAGCATAGAAAGCGTATGAAATTTTTCGAAAAACCTTCTCACCGGCTGTAAACCGATTAAAACCGGATAACTTAAACTTAATTTTTGGGTCATCGCACTTGACTTTTCATGTGTAAATGAGTGCTTGCGTGTTTCACTCCAAGGAATGTGTAAACAATGTAAGAGTAAAAATGCTCAACTTCTTGTACGCAAATGACAAAAAAGAATCTAGGACGCATTGAGTTTTTCTTTTGATTGCTATGACGAGGCCGCAGAACGCAATTGCTTTTAAACGTGTGG